CAAGGTACACAAACACAGAAACATTCAAAAATTCCCGCAAAACCTCATTCACAAAACCCTGAAACACAGCCGGTGCATTACACAGTCCAAAAGGCATTACAAGGTATTCATAGTGACCGCTCTGAGTGTTAAATCCTGTCTTCCACTCATCCCCCTTCCTTATTCTAACCAAGTGATAAGCATTTCTTAAATCCAGCTTGGTAAAAATCTTGGCAGTCTGAAGTAGCTCGAAAGCAGAGGACATGAGTGGCAGAGGATAGCGGTTCTTCACCGTAATGTCATTAAGAGGGCTGTAGTGTATGCAAGGTCTCAGAGAACCGTCCTTCTTTCCTACGAAGAAAAATCCCGCTCCAGTTGGGGAAGATGAAGGGCGGATAATCCCTGATTTGAGAGAAGAGGAAATGTAGTCGTCAATTGCCGCTCTCTCTGGCCTTGAGATTGAATACAGTCTTCTCTTGGGAATGGGAGCCCCCGGTAGGAGATCAATGGGGCAATCAAAAGGTTGGTGAGGAGGTAGCGACATGGCTTTTGATTTGTTAAAGGCTTCCTTTAGATCGTGATAACATAACGGTACTTTAGGTCAGGATAGTCTGGGTGATCTATGATGATCCTACTAGGGTCTGTTGGTGCCTTAACAGAGTGTGAATGTTTACACCTGTTAATACAATCCTCTCCCCACTCCTTAATTTTTCCTGAGCACCAGTCAATGTGTGGGTTGTGGATTTTTAACCACGGAAAACCCAAAATAATCGGATGCTGAGCAGATTCAAAAATGTTAAACTGCATAACTTCAGTGTGGTCATTATCTACAGTAATCTGGATAGGTTCTGTGCAGTGGGTTACTGTAAACAACAAACGTCCGTCTAAAGCACTGGCGTTAATGGGGCGAGATAGAGGAACAGTCTTTATACGAAGCTGTTTGACTATGCCCCAATCCATAAGACTTTCGTCCGCTCCTGAGTCTATTAGCACCCCTTGGTCAATGACCTGATCATTAATAAAAATGTTTACCTTGGTAACTGGTCGAGGAGGAAAGTCTGTGGGAAGCTTGCTCACCAGCGCCCTCCTCTTGGCTGGTAAGCTTGGTCTTTTCCCGGACATGAAGCGAGTTGGTGACCCGGCTGGCCACAGTAGAAACAACACCTTTCTCGTAGCCGGCGCTGTCTCTCCTCCACGGAAAGCCTGGTCCTTCCCAACTGCATGGGTTCATCTGCAACGGACGAAGGTGCTGTCCTCCAACTGGCCGAATCCGCTGGCTGTAAAACCTCCTCTGGTAGAACGGTTCGCTGAGAAAAGCCCTGGAAACTGGGATGTCCGTCACGGTTGCGTCAACGTTCTCTCTCCCTTTCCCGAAGTCGGTTGTCGATCCGGATGGACACGGCGATGAGAGACTCCAGGTCCCGTGGTACCTCCAGAGGAGCCAGCTGGTCCTTGATTGGATCTGAAAGCCCAGTCAGAAAAGCGTTGCGAAGAGCCGGAACATTCCACCCGCTGTCCGCTGCTGCCGTGCGAAACTCGATGGCATAATCCACCACCTGGTGATTGTGCTGGCGCATCTGAAGTAGCCTTCGGCTAGCTTCTGTAGCAGGTGACGAGTGATCAAAAATACGACTCATAGTGTCTATAAAGTTGGTTAATGAGTAACAAAGCTCAGAGTCTCTGGACCATTCTGCAGTAGCCCAGGCTGCAGCTCTTCCCGTTAAATGGGACACAATGAACGCCACTTTACCATGGTCTGATGAAAAAGCCCCTGGGTTGTGTTGGAAATGCAGATCGCACTGCACCAGGAAAGCTTTGCAATTTATGGAATCTCCGGAGAACCTCTCCGGAAGAGCCAGCCGTAGTGAGGAGGAAACAGCCTGGCTCGGGTTGACAGCGTCAACAGGATCCGCGACATGAAAGCAGTCAGCTGTGACTGACGTCATCGGCGGAGCAGTCTGAAGGTGAGTGATGAACTGCTGCATCTGATCCGTCAGCTGTCGTATCTGTGCAGAGACGGAAACTTGGAGCTCAGCCTGGTGTCCTACCAGTTCCTTCACTCCTTGGCTGATTAATCCCAGCTGTTCCTCGTGGTGAAAAATCCTCACGCCTTGGGCTGACAGGGCGGCGTGAAGTGTTTTTGGGTCGGCTGAGTCCATTGTGGTCAGTTCGTTCTGTTACGAACTTGGATTCACAAGGGAAAAAGGACTCAAATGCACGACCCGGGAGCCAAAGGTAAAGTATAAGCAATATACTTTTATTTGCCAAAAAAGGATATACAAAAAGAAAAACACTCTTAGCGAGGTGACAAAAATAAAGAGCTTCAATAAGGCTCAACAAAAAACGCTCACAACGTGAGGAACAAAACTTACAAAAAGTTTTCAGCATGAATCAGGCATGTGTCAAGATGCTGATGAGCAGAGTTCTGGCATGAGGACAGGACAAGACGAACTGAAAACAAACAATGGGAAACAGGGGAATATAAACAGGAGATAACTGGGCACAGGTGAAAACAATCAGGGGCGGGCAGGAGCGGACTGGGACTAAAAATCAGCCCGGGACTCTCGACCGGTCCACTTCGGTACCGCCGGCCCACCTCGGTACCGCAAGTAAATACCACTAGTAAATTGTCAACGGGGGGGGGGGGGGGTGCGGGTGCTAGTGACTTATCCGACCGGCCCACCTCGATACCGCAAGTAAATACCGCTAGTAAATTGTCGACGCTAGTGACTTATCCGACCGGCCCACATCGTCCGCTTGTCCCGAACGTCCAGATGGCCAGTCCACCACTGGGGGCGGGGCTGGGCTGATGAGCGCGGGAGAACACACTAGGGAAGGGAGTCAAGGAACCTGAAATGAGACGTGACAATTGAGTGACAAAACAAAACAGGAAGTGAAAGACAATACAAGAATAACAACGTGACAACTGTTGTCTTCGGGTCAAATCTGACCGATTTACTACTTTCATCAATCATAACTTTTTTGTTTTACATTCGATTGCATTAAGGCTTTATGATATCCTTCACAGTAGACATTTGAACATATAAATTGTTGATCACCACTTTCATTGAATTTTGGATGATTTAGTCAACTTTGTAACACCCATGGTGTTCCCGGTCAAAAATGACCGTCATAAAGAAAAGGAATTAGTCACCATCCAGATCAGATAAAACACACAAACATCCACACACACACACACGCACGCACACACACAGATTACCATATATACTTTTAAAAGGATTCGACACTGTGGCAGTAAGGTCTCATGGTTTTCTTTTATTTCAAAATATTGTTAAATACAGATACAAAGGTGAGCCGTAATGAAAAAAAATGTACAATCATCACAATTAACTGTTAGAAAATGTATAAATGTCTTGCTAATACCTCATTAAGTGAACACAAGTGGGCACGGACTAATCGAAGGAAACGTCACATGAGATTTAGAAATAACAGTATTTACATGGCAGTTTTATAGATATACACATTCAGTAGAAGGCACATCCAAGTCAAATGTGACCTCTTCCTCTTGTCCACTGTTTGCATTTACTTTCCCTCCCTCCTTAATAATTTGGTCCTTTACAAGAGTATAAAAAACAACGAGGAGAGATTTAATTTCTACGTCTCTCTTAGCCATCAAAAGGGCACAGTACCAGTACTCATTTAAAGTGTATGTCCCATAACCCACGATTATAATAGATTAAACTGTATTCCCCAGATACATAGCTTCCCATTAATGGTCAGTACAGTCAATTCCTCCCTCTATCATGAGCCGTGGCCCAAAAATGTGAAATCTCTTGTCCAATAAACCCAGACTAAAAGCTTCACCCACTTGAGCTTGAGTGCTTAGACCAGCCCACTTCCTCATAGACGGCATTGATGCCGCAGTACATCGTAGCCAAGAGTTTGGTCCAGGCCGCGGCCACCTCTGGTGTCACAACCTCTGAGAAGGCCTCTCCAAGGACCTCCAGTATCACACCGCTCAGGATCTGGGAAACACAATACAATGGGGTTCTTAAGCCAACTTTAAGGTCTTAAATTAGTAAATGAGAATACAACTCTTATTACATTGGCATAATGAAGTAGCAATGGGCCCTGTGCGCACAGTTACGATGGGTCATAGGGCATGTTACTACACACACACACAGACACACAGACACACACACACACACACACACACACACACACACACACACACACACACACACACACACACACACACACACACACACACACACACACACACACACACACACACACACACACACATACTCTAGATGTGTTCCCCCGCCCTTATGTGCCCAATCCCCCCATGTGAATCACACCTGGCACACACAAACACACACACACAGAACAATTTGACACAGTTCCCGCTCTTATGTGCCCATCCCCCCACATGGATCACACCTGGCACACGCAATACATGTTCAGTGTCTATTCTTTGTATATTTACTGCAGTTTTTCCTGTATACCAGTAGTCTGATACAATATGTACAGTTTGAAAGGGTGTTAAATGAAATTTGGTGAGGATTAATGGTTTTTGTGTTAATGTAATAGCAGTTAAAACAGGACCGGTCAAATTTGACCGCGAACACCAAAGTAAGGGGGGGGAAAACGAAGACAAAAGGAGGGTTAAAGTGCCAAAGAATGTAGTAACATTATGGTAGAATACAATGTCCTGATAAACAAATTAAACTGTTTTACTGTATTTTTGAAAGCTATAAAAAACATCTGTCTGCATTAGGATTTATGTGCAGCTGGAAGCTTTTCTTGTTCATTTTTAAGTCTTTTTAATGTATGGTGTCACACAGTATCAACACAGTGAAGCAAAGCAAGCACTTAAAGGGAAAATATGCAGCACTATCATGTCAGTGCCGATATTTACTCATGGTATCTTGCCAGCTCAGAGGAAAATGAACGTGGGTTTGCAGGATCGAGCTGAGGGCGATGAGATTAGTGGAGCTTTGCAGCAGCTGCTCATACTCATATCTCTCATTTACTCATGACTCTCCTTCCTTTTGCAGGCTGTTTGTGAACTTCCCCTCATCCAGGCAGTACTTCAGCCAGTTCAAGCACATCGAGGAACCGGAGGAGCTGGAGAGGAGTGCACAGCTCAGGAAGCATGCAAACAGAGTCATGAATGGCCTCAACACGCTGGTGGAGAGCCTCGACAACTCAGAGAAAGTGGCTTCGGTGCTGAAGCTGTTGGGCAAGGCTCACGCACTCCGACACAAGGTGGAGCCTGTGTACTTTAAGGTAAAAACACACTCAGAGATTAATTTAAATCCTTGAATAATTACAAATTAACAGTTAAAGTTGCATGAATGTATTTTTGACCACCAGAGGGCAGAGAGCAGACTAAATTATAATCTTTAGGTGCTGTGATGTAACCCTTTATCAAGGATTCTTTTTTACCAGATTTTTGATCCCACTTATTGCTATCTTTGTCCGTGACTGATCCCAGACTTTCCTGTAAAAACCATTAGGAAGCCTGGGTGAAGCAGAGGTGGGAGAGCAAAAAGGAAACACATGTCATACAAGAAATTATGTCTCATTACATAATAGTGGAATGATGATTTTCAAAAGAGCCAACTAATAAGAGTGTGTGTGTGTGTGTGTGTGTGTGTGTGTGTGTGTGTGTGTGTGTGTGTGTGTGTGTGTGTGTGTGTGTGTGTGTGTGTGTGTGTGTGTGTGTGTGTGTGTGTGTGTGTGTGTGTGTGTGTGTGTGTGTGTGTGTGTGTGTGTGTGTGTGTGTGTGTGTGTGTGTGTGTGTGTGTGTGTGTGTGTGTGTGTGTGTGGTAACATGCCCTATGACCCATCGTAACTGTGCGCACAGGGCCCATTGCTACTTCATTATGCCAATGTAATAAGAGTTGTATTCTCATTTACTAATTTAAGACCTTAAAGTTGGCTTAAGAACCCCATTGTATTGTGCTTCCCAGATCCTGAGCGGTGTGATACTGGAGGTCCTTGGAGAAGCCTTCTCAGAGGTTGTGACACCAGAGGTGGCCGCGGCCTGGACCAAACTCTTGGCTATGATGTACTGCGGCATCAATGCCGTCTATGAGGAAGTGGGCTGGTCTAAGCACTCAAGCTCAAGTGGGTGAAGCTTTTAGTCTGGGTTTATTGGACTTATTAAGAGATTTCACATTTTTGGGCCACGGCTCATGATAGAGGGAGGAATTGACTGTACTGACCATTAATGGGAAGCTATGTATCTGGGGAATACAGTTTAATCTATTATAATTGTGGGTTATGGGACATACACTTTAAATGAGTACTGGTACTGTGCCCTTTTGATGGCTAAGAGAGACGTAGAAATTAAATCTCTCCTCGTTGTTTTTTATACTCTTGTAAAGGACCAAATTATTAAGGAGAGAGGGAAAGTAAATGCAAACAGTGGACAAGAGGAAGAGGTCACATTTGACTTGGATGTGCCTTCTACTGAATGTGTATATCTATAAAACTGCCATGTAAATACTGTTATTTCTAAATCTCATGTGACGTTTCCTTCGATTAGTCCGTGCCCACTTGTGTTCACTTAATGAGGTATTAGCAAGACATTTATACATTTTCTAACAGTTAATTGTGATGATTGTACATTTTTTTTCATTACGGCTCACCTTTGTATCTGTATTTAACAATATTTTGAAATAAAAGAAAACCATGAGACCTTACTGCCACAGTGTCGAATCCTTTTAAAAGTATATATGGTAATCCAAATCCTCTGCATTTCTACGTACTACTGTGTTGACATAATTAGACGTTACCTTTTTCTCGCTTGGCCTACCGCTCTGTCTGAGTCAGCAGTGCTAAGTATAAGCTGCTGGAAGACCCTATTTATAAAACCATTTATCCAAATGCTCTCTCTTTTTTTATTATGGAGAGACCCTGCTAAATATATGGGAAATGGATTGGTATCCATTAATAGTCCTGCATGGAGCCAATTTCTACAACACATTTTACAACATGCTGTCCTTTCTTATTTAAAAAGAGACAAAATAAAGGTTGATTTTTTACAGCTTCAAGGACAAAGTTGCGAAGTGGGTTGTTTCAGAATAGAAACACACAGCATGCTCTGTTTACCCCTTAGTCCCGCCTTAATCCTGGCTAATCCACTGAGCTAATCTCCCCAATCATGAGTGAGAGCCAAGAGAAAATACAGGAATAGTGAGACACAAAATCTGCCTTTTATAGTTTGAGCCTCTCGATGGGAGGAGAAGCCTCAGTGCTCTGAACCACCATCGCCCCCCAAGGCAGCAGATCGCTGGAGGTAGGACCATGTGTACCACCATGATGGTCCTCACCACCATCGCTCTCCTCCTGCGGCACCATTTCTTCAACAAGATCTCACCGTGAGTACTGAATGTGCTTTTCAGCAGGCACCAAAAAAATTGTGGTCATTGCAACCTGTCTGTTAGAAATTATAAAACAGAAATAAGGGACTGCTTTTTGTCAAAATTCAAATATACAAATTCAACATCATGCAAGAAAAGCATTGAGGATTAAAATAAATACACATTAAGTACTGCCAACCATACAAAAAATATGAACACTTGAACACATGTCTGTTCCATGTGTAGGGGGTGAGGGTGATACTTATCTGCATCATTGATTTGAAATAACTTCAGTGATTATTTTAGGGCTCGCCTTGAGCAACAATGTGCGGATTAAGTAGCTCGACACATAACAACAGTGTATTCCAGTTTTCTTCTAATGGAGAGCTGAATAGAGGGGCAAGCATCAGGGCGCTCGAGTTCATGGCTGCTAATTGACTCAAAGTGCAATCTTCTCAGCCCTCAACCCCCCCTGACCTGCTCAGCCACTCACTCAGCAATGGCAAACACACCGCGAGGCTACAGCACCATGGAGCGTGGCAACACCTAGCTCACACGCTAGTAAGATAATAATCTGCAAAACCTTGAGTTCTTTAACCAAACTCTTTCCAGATTGTGCTCATGAAAGCATTGGTTGAAATTGAGAAATAACTGTACTAGTGAGTTGTATGTTCTTTATCACAGGCAGAAAGAGAGTGTTGAGAAAGACGTGCCATACATGAAGAGCAATGGAGCAACAGAAACCCCAAAATGAGAAAAACAGTGAACATCAAAGGGTAAGGAAAAAAAGGACAAACAATCTATCCATTGAAAACAAAGTGAGGATATGCAGCCACGGGGGTCTTTCTGTGATTTTAGTAACTGCAGAGGCCAAGACGTTCTCGCTTCAAAAGCTAGATTTTGGTATCAAGCCAGCAGCACTTAAAATTCCATCGATGAAACCTGATAGCGTATTTAGAATTTAGAAACCCCACTTTGGAAGACAAGATCTTTGATGACTTTCCCATAATTTCCTTGAAAATGGAACTCATTTGGAACAAATTAACTCTAAGCTCGAGGTTTCTTCAAAAGATGTGGAGATACCACATCTTACGAAGAAAGTGCATTTAGCTGAGTCATGATGAGTCATTCTTTTATGAATGATTATATCCCTTCATAATCGTGACTTTGCATGTTTGCTTTTAATTCCCTTGGGTTACATCTCCCCTGAACATGACAAGAGCTGGCCATCTTCTCAAATGTTGTAAGCACCAGGTGAGCGTTGTCATTTGCCACACTTGAAACCTAGCCAAAGGGGTGTTTCAGTGATTTTAGTAATGCACTTCCAAACAGCAGAGGTTAAGATATCCTCCCTTAAAAAGCATGATTATGGTTTCAAAACTGTGGCACTTAAAATTCCAATGATGAAACTAGATAGCATGTTCTATTTGTGTTCCCTGCATTCCCTGCATCCATGTTCTCCAGATTCCAGTTTTTTAAACAGGCTTCTTGGGGACTTTTCCCTTAGTTCCCCTTTTTTTTTGTATATAGGGATTCATTTGTTACAAATTTAATTCAAACTCAAGGTTTCTCTTTAAACTTTTGATCCTGACATAACCTCATCATCAGACAGTAAAACCAGTATTGGGTAATTTTTCAAATAAAAGTGAATGATGTTGCACATTCCAAATATAAAAAACTGTGAATGTCAGTGGGTGACAGAGACACAGAAACACATCCAGACAGGCAAAGGGATATTGACAGTTATGTGTGTGTGTCTGTCTCTGTGTTATGGGACACCTGACATTTTTTTTTCCTCAAAACAGATACATGTAAGAGCCTGGATCATGTTGTGACGTATGAAGTCATCATAAAATGCTTTGATTTATCATATTTTAAAAGCAATTATAATACACAGCCTGTATGATAATTGTTCACAGAACAACATATATTCTGACTTTATATATCCATCTGTCAACCAAATAGAGCTCTGCGGTAACTTATGTGACCAATTAATTGACAACTGTATTATAAAGAATGTGGTTCACCTACTGCAGAGTAATTCGTTTTGCAAGTTTGTGGCCGAGAGCTGTATCTGTAGGCACCTCTCTGAAATCTTGTGTGCCACAAACATGCATATACATGCAGGTAAAACATACACACATGGTGTGTGTGTGTGTGTGTGTGTGTGTGTGTGTGTGTGTGTGTGTGTGTGTGTGTGTGTGTGTGTGTGTGTGTGTGTGTACACACTGGGGCGGCATTATAAAAAAGCAGCAAAGCTTCTTTCCGGCGGTATTGTGAAATCTCTGTGTAGCACGGGGCTTGTGTGCTAGTGGAGGTTAACAGGAGGGGCTCCAGACAAGGGGAGAAAGTGGAGCAGTGGAGCATGTTACAGAAGCACGGATGCATAAAGAGCTGAGATGCCTGCCCCACATTTAGCTTTTAAGTATTCACTGCTACACTGCTAACTAAATGATTCAGAAGCAACAATCCATCATCTCTTTAGGGTTATTATGAGTACATTACCTACAACCCTTCCACTTGATGCAGCTAAAAGATCCCAATGTAAGCCAATAAACAAAGGGGGCATTGTATCCAACCATTGTATGTGAACTGAATCTTTTTTATGGCGACAGTTTTATGGATTGAATTGTCATGGTGATTCAGTTTTTTTTGATTGACCGTTTTCCCTTTTCGCATCATGACTTTACATATTTGCTTTTCTCCTATGCTCCCTCTTCCCTGAAGACATGACAGGCCATCATCTCAAGTGTAGTGAGCATCAGGTGAGCTCTGTCATTTGCTATATTTTACCTCGAATGAACCAGAAAACAAATGGACAAACTGTCAAAAATGTGCACAAGTGTTTGTTTACATCAAAAACTCTGAAAGCTAAACCCTGATTTGTTTTGTTTTCTGTCCTCAGTGGCCTCTGCTATCAAGACTTATTTCCACAGATACTATGGCAGAGATTTCCTTGAGAGATGTCCTGTTATCACACCAAGGTTCCCAACAGGAATAAAAAAGTGGGCTAGAAAAACAACAAGGCCTGTTTTGATCATGGATGGAACAGGAAACAGCAACTGAGCAAATTCTTGGAAGATCAAGCCTGACAAATCCTGTCATGAAAGCTGAATTGTGTCATTTCAAAGTTGATCAGGGTATAAAGTAATAAAACATTATGTGCCTCTGCATATATAAGCAGTATATTCATTTCTTAAATGTTCTGTATTGCTTGCTTTTAAAACAATTAATGATTTTTATTAAATGTATACATGAGGACAGGATTTGACTGGATGTATCTTTAAGAGTCGCGTCTCTTGAGATCTCATAAGTGACCTAATTAATTCTAAAATAGGGGCTGACGTCCAGTTTTGTATTGAAATGGCAGGAGCCCATGGATCACTTAAAGGTTGTGATGATCTCACAAGAGAAGCCCACTGATGAAATAAATCAATGAAATGCATTTGTGTGCCGCTGTTTACTTCTCAATGCCAATGAAGAGTGTCTCTTCCATGCACTAAGAAAAACTGTTATTGATTCAATGATGATATATTAAAAAGGAGTACATTTTTCCTATTTTAGCATCGGTGAAGAATTTATTTTCCCAGATTAGATTAAATTCTACGTTATTGTCGTAGCACATGGTACAGGAAAAAGCAGTTTGCGTCCAACCAGAACATTCAACTCAAATAGTATAAAAAGGTATAACGATAAAGTTAATTACATGCCCCATAGTTTGATATGGTCAGTTTTGTTTCTTGACAATATATATTTTAGTTATCGTCATTATGCTGTGATGTTAGCAATGTATCTTTTTCAAAAGAGCAAATACATTTTGGAAATTGCATTCTCATTGCATACTGACATTACAGTGAATAGTGTTCTCCTTCATGGTACATCAATTCTGCATGCATTTTTGCTCTACAATCAAATGGGAATGCTATACAATTTAAAAGGTATATGTGTCAGTTATGTCTCTCTAGAAGTTGCAGGATGACTTTCCTACTTAAAGGTATTTCAGTGCAATAAAAGGCATTTAAAATGTAATTGAATATAAAACAATAAACACTCCATCATCACAGAATATCTACAAACATAAAAATATCCTTGCATGCAAAGACCAAATGTTTTAAATAGAGCATGTCAGCTTGTTGGCCTTGCTCATTGAATGAATCGCATGATGTTGCCATGCATGTAATCCTTTATATATTCAGTCTATGGTATAATCCCAGCCAAGGAGCGCATGAAAACATTTCATGCAAAATAGCAAAGATGCTTACTGGTTATCATTGTGCTGATTAAGAGTGCAACATCAGGCCTAGACCTCACTGAATTAAACATAGGCATCAGAAGATCAATTATTCAGCCCTTCAGTTTTGTTGCAACTGATTTGATTTGACCTATTTTCTAAACTTTGACGCCACCTGGTGGTAAGCCTGGTGGTTTGGTAGGATTCACAAAGTAAGCAAGCATCTAAAAAATGGAGCAGAAAATGTAAAACTAGCAACTTCATACATAATCACAGGCAAAAAAAACAACGCATTTTTCTGAAACATTATTCTTCAAAGGGCACGATAAAAGGGTACGCTTAAAAACTACCCTACCCACAATGCAAAGCGAACTGTAAACAGGAAGTGTGTGTCTCGCGCTGGTTGTGGTAACGATAATGCTGCAGTAAATCTCAAAAACAGATGCTTGTGATTTTCCTAGCTCAATTTAAATTCTACGAATAAAAGTGTGAATTAGCATAACTAGGTGTGCTATATGGCTAACGGACAGCCATGTCGATGTAGCAATATATAATGCAGTGTGTTGCGGCGGTGTGATTCGCTTTAATGTTAATTTACTTCAAATTAACTGAGTATTTTTTGGACTGCTAACTGACCAAACATGGCTGTATAAAAGCATGAAACAATACGACGTGTAACCAAGCTTAATAAAAACTACAATCGTGTAATATGTCCTTGAAATGAAAGCTCACCGGTGTAACGGAGTGGTTACCAATGGAGACAGGAGACGCCTAATCAGATTTAGCTAAGTAAGCTAGTTAGCTAGCTACAATAACATTAAAGCTACAAGGAGATATTCAACATGGTGAGTCAAACTTGTGCCTCAGTGTTTGCTCGATTCTTTAAGTTAAATCCTTGTTTTCAATCACTTTGTAAACATGCAATGATTTGCTATCTGCAGTAGGTCCATGGTTTAGTGACACTAGGTAAATCTCCCCAACTGCTATATAACTCATGATATATCACTACTTTTACAGGCTTCAAAGCGGAAGGGCAAACCATCCAAAAGTAAGTTCTTCAAGTATTAGTGTAATGCTGTATTCCATAGTGTATTTCTCATATTGTATTACTATGTATGTATTGTAGCATTTAGAGTAGGCTAGTAATGCCACACAATATTAGAATATTAAGTAATATTAGTATTCAGCCACAGTCACAGCTGGTGACATCATAATGAAAATGTAATATACATACATTTTCTTGCTGCTATATTGTAGGTTTACTGTTCTCACTAGATGTTTTTATGTAGGCTGTTTTGTTGTGTTTTGTGTACCTGGGTCTAGTTACGTCTGCAAGACAACATTTCCCCAGGAGACACTAAAGTTGAAGAGTCTTAAGCTTGTTTATTTCTGCCCCTCCACGGTTTTCCCCTAGGTTCTTTCGGAGATGAAGATTTGCTTGACAGCTTATTTGATGACGAAAGTAAGTAGTCAGATCTCCAGTATTTTCATTTGTATTATTGTAAGAGTTTTGTGTGTTTACTATTTGATTTACTTACCAGAACTCCCAGTACGGGGCAAATCAACCCGCAGTGGGCAACTGAATCGGTAAGTTGGAGGAATCCAAAGTTGCATGCCAACAATTATAAATCACAACTGTTTGCAATAAAAATGTTTCCTTCTCCAGCACTTCTGCCACTGATAACATCTTCAGTATGCTAGCAGAGGAGGTGAAGAGGGATGGTGGGGACACTGAGGTATGTAGACAGAAATATGAAAATACACACATAGACACAGTCTTATATTTCTAGCATTATTTATTGTCTATTTGTTACTATTTACTTTCTTGTCCAGGACTCTGATGTCTCAGCAGCAGATCCCAATGACATTTTGAAGAACATGAAGGTAGGTCATCATACAAAAAGTGGAAATATCCTGACAGAAGTTCAGATTTCTAGTTCTTTGCACATGGCCTTAGCTCTACTGACTTTTGTTTTTGCACAGGACATGGATGATATGGATGCTGACCTTTTTGCACCAAAGAAAAAGCCCAGCTCAGCTCCTGCACAATTAAAGCTGTTTGGTAATGAAGGGCCAAAGAAAGACTCATCAACCATAGAAAGTAAAGCAAAGCCAGGGGGAGCAGGTAATTCAATGCAGAGTGTTCTTGCATTCATTATTTCCTCATTATCAGCTTCACATTATTACCCACTTTGAAGTTTGCATTTAAAGCAGCAGTAACAGAGAGCTGTTTGTCTTCCCCTCTCCACTCAGATGAACCCACCACAGGAGGGAGGAAGACATACTCTGCACCCACGTCCACAGCGCATAACTACAAGAAGTTCACTTTCTCAGGTGAGTTAGCCCCCCCCCCCGTCCCATCCATCACACACTATATAACTCAGTAGCTGTTAACTGATAGCTTTGCTGTGTTTTTTTCCTCAAACTGCTGCATTTATGTAGACAGTGGGGGTGAAGATGAAGGTCAGACTCCTGACACTAAAGGTACATTAGTACAGATAAGTGTGTAGTTGAATAATATCAGTTGGTAGTTAAAGGTGGGGTAGGTAAGTTTGAGAAACCGGCTCGAGATACACTTTTTGTTATATTCCATGGAATGCTTTTAACATCCCGATAGCAATGAATATCTTAAGTGCTTTGACAAAAAATCCATAAAAAAATGTCATCTGTGGAAGCCGTAGTACTGTAAAAAGCACGACCAATCATTTTAGCCGGCCCGGCTAAAATAACTGGATGGCCTACCTGCCTGTCAGCCTTCCATCTGTGCACAAACTTATCTCGTGCCCTCATTGGTCATGTGCGTGTTCGTGTGTGTTGGAGGAGGGGCTCTATAAGGAAGTGGCAGATTTTCTCCGGTTGTGTATTTTCAAATTCTAGCGATCTCGAGCCGGTTTCTCAAACTTATCTACCCTACCTTTAAAGGTGTTTTTTGTGTGTAGTTTAGACAAGAGATGTGTATCCAACAGATATCCACACAATTGTAAACAAGTTAAAATGTATTTGGTACACCGGTACAATGAATGCAATCTAAATCTTCCATTAAATCCATCCTTATGTTGAAAGGTGTTTCCAATATTTTGTCCACCCTTTTTCACATACAAGAGGTGGACAATAAATCATATTTTTATATTATTTACATTATAAATACTCCATACAAATATCTTTCCATTGTTAATGTATTTTTTAACTGATTATTTTTAATGTATGTGCAATGTATTTTTACTTGCTGCTATAACAAAACAATTTAAAAATTTGGGATCAGTAAAGTATATCAAATCTATTCTTATAATAAAAGTCTAGAAATGCTTGTATTCCAATACATAACAATCTCTAATTATTGTATCATATTGGTGCAAACAGATGTCCCTAATATATGGGTGACTCAGTGTATAAACACATGCTGAAATGTGTAAACCTCATAATTTAAACATATTTGCACATATACATTCGTACATATGTGATGCCTGTTTAGCATTTACTGCTTAACAGCCTAAAGAAGAAGTATAAATAATGTAAAGAGTTTCATTTCCTCTGCAGATGTTGACGACCCCCTGGCGGATCTACTTGATGATTTGCTTCCAGATGAAACTAAGCCCGAGCCTAAATCTATCATACAGAAAGCCAAACGTGAAAAAGCACCGCCATCTCCTACAGCGTCGCCTATCCTAAAGACTCCAACATGTGAGTCTTTAAATGATACACATGTCTTTATTTTAATATGAAAAACAAACAAGGTGCTGAATGTGTTTGTGTTTATATTTTTTGTTCACCAGCTAAAGCAGCAACTAAACGAAGTGATCTCACATTTGATGACGACAAGGAGGATCTAATGGACGCACTCGGATTTGACGGTGATAATAAAAACCCTCCGAAGAAAAAAGAGGCTGCGCTTTGGTCCAACAAGGACAGGTAACAGCTCTGTTCTCACGCTTACTGTTGTCCTTATTTATAGCGCTCAAACAATAAATAATTAGTGCTATGGGCTTCAGGGTGCCGCTAAAAACAAAGCTGCACAAAGAAAGCAGCATCTCTCGCCTAGGGCATATATATTTGTTGTTTTGCCTTCGCTATTTAATGCTTTCCCTGCCCTTTTTGTCTCTCATTTTCCCTCTGTTTTGCCTCCTTTCCTCAGGAGTGAGACCCCTCAGAGGCCTCGTACCAAACTAGATGAGATTCTGGAGAGTTTGACCTCCCCTCGTCTTCTGGAGAGACCTCCGACGGGCGAGAAGAAGGAACAAACTCAAGAGAAGCCGCAACAGGATAAGACGTTTACCGTTAAAGGTAACGGGGCACCATGTCCTTCTGCTGTCATTATTATTAGCAACTACTGTTTCAAAGGGCTAATATGTTGCCTTCTTATCAGAAACACTTCCAGAAGAGGACCTCACATTTGGCTCCTATCAGCCCACTCTGGGGTCCACGCCTGAGGCGCGCCAGTCCCGCAGACACTCTGTCAGGTGTGTGTAAAGCCTAATCTTGGTGTCTTAGGTGGTTGCCATTTTAGCTTTTTAGGCAGTTGCCATCTTGGTTTTGGGCCGTAGCCATCTTGGTTTGATGGGGTCACCATCTTGGTTTTGGGCCGTACCCATCTTGGTTTGATGGGGTCACCATCTTGGTTTTGGGCCGTAGCCATCTTGGTTTGATGGGGTCACCGTCTTGGTTTTGGGGTGTTGCTATCTCGTATTTTTTTACTGTCTCCATCTTGGTTTTGGCTAGTTGCTATCTTGTTTTTTTGTGCTGTCGCCAACTTGGCTGTTGGCCATCACCATCTTTCTACCCTTACCTTTTTTTTCATATCAGATTCTCCACAGAGGATGTCAGTCCCTCTACCCCGGAGAAGAAACCAAAGCCCTCCACCCCCATTTCTACACGGCAGCGAGCATCGGCTGACTGGCTCGGCCTGAAGACAAATGATGACCAGATCTTTGCAGAGGATGACGCCAAAGAGACTTCAACAGACTCTCCAATACCTCCCTCCTCCCCTTCATTAGAGAAAAGACCCTCTCTGACTGGTAGTAATGCCACATTGGCTGTTAAAGTGGCAGCAGACACCCCTACCGTACCTGCTACTATCGCCAAACAAACCCAGCCAGAGGTCTCTAAAAGCCAGCCGAAAGAGGAGGAGGAAGATGATTGGTTAGCAGGAGCTCTGAGCAGGAAGAAGGGTCTGTCTGTGACACACTCTGAGGCAAAAACATCCAAACAGGAAGAGTCTTTAGGCCTGGGAGAAGAAGTGGATCTGGAGTCGACTGTGAGGTACACAACAAAGAATATACAAATACATTAAAAAAACACACAGACAAAGTTAGTTTCTCAGTACTGAATGTTTGTTTTTCAGTCAACAAGTGGCTTCACAAGCTCCCAGGGCCAGAGAGGACACTCTTACATCTGTCACGGAAGCTAAGTAAGATATTTGTTGTGTAAATCCATAAAACCAGTGAACTGTAAGTGGATTTTTTGTTTGATATTTCTGTTACTTTCCTTTTGTTTTGTACAGCAGCACTTTTCTCGGACAGCAAAGCCCCAACGCTCACTCCACTCCCGTCAGAGAGACGAGGACCAGGCAAGGTATTTATCGACATAACTAATCTTACATTTTATAGTTATAATTTGAATGGTGACTTTTGAAAGCCACGCTCATCTGTGGAAACTTTTCATAATACCCTGTCAATTGATCAGTCATCCAGTCATTTTCACAAAACCCATATCTGATACCTTTTTCTATTTTGTATGACGTCCTGCCCATCTCATTGGATGATCAACTCACATTCTGCCACTCCTTTCGTACAGAAACCATTCCCTCTTACACCTTAACTCCACCACAATCCCCGTCAGTCATTACAGAATATACACCAACCACCAACCCTCCGCTCCCCTCCATCTTAACATCCTCCTCAGCTGTCCATGCTAATGTAGAGCTCCAACAAACTCTTAATTACTCTCCTCCCTCAGATTGCCCTCCTCAATTACCTCGCCCTCTGCCAGTCTCTACTGCTAGCGTTAGCCACACCCAGCCTCAATCCCAACCCCTCCACCTACCACCCCATAAGGGATCCGGGATCCTAAGAGGACCCAGTCAGGCTGCGGATGAAACGCCCCAACAGCTGCCACTGCTCCACCCTACCTCTACTACACTGCCTGGCTCAATGTGGTGTAGGTAATCTCGGACTAATCTGCAGTAGTTGTACATGCAGTATTCACCATTGCTGTAATAATAAATGTGATCATTTGAATAAGGTTGTTACTCATGGTTGTGTTCTTTGCAGCTGTTCAGCAGCCAAACCAAATGCAGAATACATCAAGTGCTGTCCAACAACAGGTATTCATACTTGTCTGTTTTTTCGTGTGATTCTGTTTATTTGTACCTTACTTTGACCATCCGTTCGCTGTTATTGATCATTGTGGAGAGCAGGCAGACGTTTTGTTTGTTATTATAGCAGCTATCGGATGGAATCAATACATGGGCTGCACAGGTTGTCATGTCCGACTATCACAAGTAGAATCATAATGAAAAATACGCCGGTAAAATGTGCCTGTAGAAAACGGCTTAGCAAGTAGTCAGTTTAGCTTCGGTTGCTATGCTAACATCACCCATGTTATACCAGAGAAACTTTCATAACAGCGTTGTGATGCCAAACAGCGTCAATTCAGACTGACACACATTCACTTAAGGGGAACTGGGGATATGTATCAGCTGCTGTGACAGTCAGACAGTGAATACTTTAGAGCCGTGTGAGCTAACCCGGAGCTAACGGGAGAATAAACTCCCGTGGAAGAGCAGCCAGCACTGCAGCGGTCGGTAAATGCCGCTGAAACACATTAATAAACAATGAACCACGGCACTCTGGAGAAAAGTATAAGGTTGGAGAAGTCGTTATTTAATTTAATCTGGCTTCGTATGATTAAAAGCAACACGATCATCGACCCGACGCAGTCCCCGGCCCGTTGTTGTTGTGAGCTCCGTGGGGGAGAAAATCAGCGATGTAAACGGTGACGTCATGACGCAGCAGCGGCAGCTGGGCGGTGTGAACAGAGCGGGAGCTGAAAAGGGAAACCGGAGCTGAACCAGAAAAGCTCTAGCTAGGAGCTAGAAAGGGAAAAGCGCTGGTGTGAAAGCCGCATTAGTGACAGCACTATTTAACACTCGTCCCTCTATTGGCTAGCGTTCCAACTTGTACATGATAGGCTAAGGAACGGGACATCATTAAGCTGAAAACAGATCCGGCCAGCTAACCAATCAGAGCAGACTGCGCTCTGGTTTCAAACAGAGGGTGAAAAGAGGTGCTGCAGAACAGGCAGTGTGAGAAAATAAAGACCTTTTTCAACATTAAAGCATGTAAACATGTCACAGTAGAGACACAAAATACAAATATGAACCTGAAAATGAGCATGATAGGGCCCCTTTAAGGTTTATCACCATTTTGGCAATCACATGTGTTTTTAGTGAATAACCCTTCTCTATTTTTTCTGTGAAGGTGCCACTCTCAGCAGACTTTCTGCAGCAGCTGCTTCTACAACAGCAGGTTAGGAATGTTACTTGCACATATACTCCAGCTGTGTATGCACAATGAATTGTTCTTGACTTGTTTACTTTTCTCTCCTAAAGATGATGCAGTCTCAGTTGCTGGGTCTCGGGGGGGTCAATGTAAGAGAGCAGCAAGCTGGAGATTATCAAGCTTTACAGGCTTGCATCATCCAACTGGAGGGACAGGTATATTAATGTTGGTGTAATGTGTAAAGGACACAAATAACTAGGGCTGTGCAATTAATCGTATTTTAATCTCGATTACGATTTTGGCTTGCAACGATTACGAAAACAATGTAATCGAAATAAAACGATTATTATTTTTATAAAAAAAAAAAAAAAATGTAATTCTTTTTTTTTTTTTTTTGGTTTTTCTGTTGAATTATACTTAAAGTTCAGGGTAATCAACTGTTAAAAACATACTGTTCAAATTTTTTTTTTCAATATATGGATGTTTTCAAAGTAAATGGATAATCGTTTTTAATAATCGTGATATCAATTATTGACCAAAATAATCGTGATTATGATTGTTGCCATAATCGCACATCCCTACAAATAACCTTCAATGCTGCAAAAAAGATTCCTATATTTCATCCTATGTGTTACTGTCTAGGTGAAGACTCTGCAGCTGGAGCGAGAGCAAAGCCAAATGTTGCTAGCGAGTGTCCAGCAGCGGCATAAACAGGATATGGAACTCATGGAAAACACAAACAAGTAGTTAATTCCTCGACACACACACACACACACACGCACATATGTAGGGCGAATGTGCTCCTATGTACATGTTTAACATACATTATGCATAATTCCCTGCACTTCAAGCTGCTTATGTTTGCTTAGCACATGCTTTCCGTATCTCTGTGCACGTGCAGGGCTCGCGTGAAGCTGCTCGAGGAATCGGCAGCCCAGAGGGAGACACAAGCGCGACAGGAGTGTGAAGACCTAATAGAACGTCTGGCAGCAGCAACACGATCCGCCGAGCAGGAACGCTCTGAGCTGCAGGCTCAGTACCAGCGCAAACTGACCCAGGCCCAGCAGGACAGAGACCGCGAGGTGGAGAGGCTCCGAGACCTCCAGAGGTACAGCGAGAAATGTCGAAAGATACGAAGTGTGGGACACATTTTAGTCAGGATCTCTTGCCAACACTTACAGTTGAAAATATCACAGGTGTTTAATACTCCAGAGATCAATCATCACAAGAGTTTCTGAGTCAACCTTACATTCTATAGAAGTGCATGCCCCCTCCATGTACTATGTATATCATTTTCACAGCGTTGACCCAATTTTTTGTGTGTTGTGTAAAATCTAAATCTGAAATAAGGTCAACATGAGGTCTGCAAACACAGCTGTTCCTTCTCTACACACAATGCCTATTATTGCACATGTTTAAGCTGCGAGGGCAGGCACAGTACATATCTAAACATTGCATTGGATTTTAAACCATTATTTTATTGTATAAAGTGTGGGGGAAACTTCTGAAGTAATTGGAAACAGGACTCAGAGAGAGACACGAGGAGAGCTGGAGCTTTGATGGCAAAACACTGACGGTTTATTTGGAGCTTCGGCCGGAGAATTCACAAGACATGTCACGGGGCCACGGGTTGACCACGCGGTTCAGATGCCACAATAAATTCTGAAGAACTCTTCTGTAGTTCAAGGTTTTAACTAGTTCGGAGTGTAATAATCAACATTCTTCACTAGATAGACTGGGGACACTGACTGACTTATGGCCTCGAAGATTTCACACCTTAGGTTCATCAAACCCCGAGAAGGAAGTGTTCCATACGTCCCCATAACAATAAACTATCTCTGACTGAAGGTTGCCCGGTCATAAACTGGTAACAACAACAAATGGCTAAGGCAGCCCCCTCCTTAAGGGAGATAACAGATGCCATGGTTGGTCATCTGCGTCAGAGGGCAAAAGGTGAACATCTATGGAAATGATTCCCTGACATAAAGCACTTCTATTGGGAGTAAAGAAGCCCTAATTACAGTAAGTGATTATTTCACACTAGCCAGTAATATAAAATGTATTCAACACATGCTGACTGAAAGAAAAATACAAACAAAGGGGGATACACAGGATTAGATAATTGTTCCATTTGAAGCAAAAGACAGAAACATAGTAATCAGATCACTCGGCTTAGTCTTCATATTGCATAATGCGATTTAATCTTCCTGCACATTCGGGGCCTGATTCAAGAGGCACGTTCGCCGAGTAATCTGGGTAAACTAGCAGAGTAATACCCATAATCCCCTCTTATCTGGAATGTGGACAGATGTCTAAAGAACTAACTTATTCAAAAAGAACCACATTTTTCCGATAACTAAGCAAAAAACCCATCTAAAACCTACAATAAACGTATCAGTTGTATTATAAACAAATGCACAGCTGACTGTATTTTAATTGTATTCTTGACGTCAAGGAAATCTGTCTTGGAGATGAAGAAGGACCACGAAGACCAGGTCAAGAGACTGAAGAAGCTAAAGGAGGAGGAGATTGATGCTGTAACAAGCGCAACATCACAGACCAGGTTAGATGGAAACGAATGACACTGCGATACATACTCCTGTTAACACTAGTAGTATGTTCCATGTGTGTTTGTGTGAAATCAGTGCTGATATGTTTTATATATACACTATGTTGGAAGAGTTACGTTGTTATTTCACCTTGAAAAGTGAGTCTAGAATTATTATTTTTCTTATTTTCTGTATTTAAAGGGGACCTATCATGCAAAATGCACTTTTGTACGTCTTTTATACATGAATATGTGTCCCCGGTGTTCCAGGGAACTCACCAAGTGTCAGAAAACACAACCCTCTCTATTTTCCTCCATACCCAAATCTCTAAAAAAGGGGCTGCAACGGATCTGATAAAAACTGATCCAGATTTGAACACTGTCCTGACGTCAGGACAGTGGCGCTACGGCTATTGGGCCAACTCCACCAATCAGGAGGAGACAGCCACGGCCATTGCCGTTCGAAAGCGCTGGAGACGCTGTAGTACATATGCCAGGCCTGTAGATGGTGCTGTTCTCACAGAATCAACCCTTGCTAAAACAGGGATAAAAAATGTCAAATTGCAAAATGAGGCATGGCTAAAATGCATGATCTGTTTGGTATTTTGAAGAAAAAAAAAGTATAAATATGCCTTGTATAGGTATGGTCCTACACTATATTATTCAAATATAGCATGATAGGTCCACTTTAAGCAGATTTTCAACACTAATCAACTGATCTTATTCAGGTTTTTTTGTGATTTGTGCAACATTACTGTAGTGTAACTGTGTTTCCTTGGTCCAGGTCCCTCACGGGGGTGATTGAGCAGATGGAGCAGTTCTCCTCTCGGCTGGGGGATCTCTCTTCCCGGGTGGAGAGCACACATGAACACACGGCGCAGGGCCTGGAGCAGGGGGCACGGCACCGAGACGAGCAGCTTCGAAGTACATCACACACACATAAACATGCACACTTTGTTCAAATAGGTCAAAACACAAGTTGGCTAACAGCATACTGTGGTCGGTGTCGCATTGCAAGTGGGTTAAGGTCATTCTCTAAATGCTCGTTTCAGTGATGCAGGAGCGTCTGGCCCAGCAGCAGAAGGCCATGGCGGAGGAGAGAACGTACCTGAAGGAAATAATCTCCAGGATGGACTCTCAGCTCAATGAGCAGCAGAGACAACTTGAGAAGGTCAGGGTCAATCTGTAGGATTAAGCATTACACAAGTGCATACATAAAGTACACACGCTTGCAATGAATTGATACTTTCCCCTCACCAACCAGGTCTGGGAGGGTTTCTTTAAAAATGTCTTTGTTTACAATTACTAGTAACCTGTAGAACATAAATGTAATGTCACCTGATTACTTACCGTTACTTTTGGATTACCTTAAAATCAAATGCAATGCAAAAATAACCCTAACCATAACCCTAAAGAAAATAAATGGCCTTTTAGGTTTAGTATAATGCATGAATTTAAAAGTTTTTTAAAGAGTATTTTTGTTGAACAAATCAGGTATCCAGCTACTTGATTTAAAAAAAGTCAAAGGTATTTGAAAAAAGTCTAACTGAAGACCAAAAAGCAAATGTATGTATTGTAATCTTGTTAGCAATCTCAGATTTGTTTTAATGTACTTGTAATCTGATGTTTTTTTACAGTACTTTTTTATGTAACTGTAAATTAATACAGTTACTCCCCTTGTCTGTCAACAACTGACAATAGGACTTTGATGTTGTATTTCTCAGGACCGCTGGAAGATGACAGCAGAGCAGGCCAAGGCAGAGTCTACCCAGAGAGGGCTGGAGGGAGAGCGGCACGCCCTCAGTTTGCAGATCAACATGGAACGAGAGGAGCTGGAGAGAGCTAAGGTGAGCCAGGTGAACATCCACATCCAACTTGAATCAATGCGTGGTTCCTTCTTACGTCTCCTGCGTGTCTCCGTGTCCATCAGAGTGCACTCCTGGAGGAGCAGAAGTCGGTGATGCAGCACTGTGCGGAGGAGAGGAGGAAGCTGGCTGCTGACTGGACCCACTTCCACGCCCTGGAGAAGCAGAGGCACGAGAGGGCCGAGCGGGAGGTCAGCAGTCTGTTGGAGAGGAGGGAGGGCTCCATCATCAGTCTGGCACAGGTGATGGTCCTTTAAGTTAAAAACTAATGTTGTCATTATGTTTATTATGTGGTTCATTTATAAACCTTCCAGAACTCTTAGGTGTTCTGGGACAGGTGCTTTCTGCCCTCAGAGTCAAGACTAAGAGCTTAGAAAGCTGAGGGTTAGGCTAGGTTTCTTTTTCAGAAACAAGTCCTGTTTCTCACTCGAGGCCAGGAAAAGGCTCTGTGACCTTTTTACCTGTGCTGGACTATGGTGATTTGATCTATATGAATGCACCTGCCCATTACCTGCTCAAGTTAGATGCCGCCTATCACAGTGCTCTGAGATTTGTTACAAACTGTAAAGCACTTACTCATCACTGTACCCTGTATGCCAGGGCAGGGCTGCCTTCACTTGCTGTACGGAGGCTCAGTCATTGGTACATGTTCATCTACAAAGCCATGCTGGGTAAACTACCGACTTATATCTGCTCTTTGATCTCACAGAGAGTCGCAAGTAGCTATTGCCTGAGATCCCAGGATGTGTTTTTATTACATGTGCCAAGTGCTAGGACTGTTTTAGGTACTAAAGCTTTTATGTGCGCTGCTCCTCTAGCTTGGAACACTATGCAATTTCTTTTGAAACTGAGCATTTTGGTTCCCCTGCAAAAGCTTGGATAGATGAAATGTTATTTGATACCTGTCATTGTGAATAGGTTGTAATTTTTACCGCTGTAATTATGTTGTATGATGTCCTTTTTGTTTTCTGTTGTTTTTATGTGTAACCAATGTGCTGCAGGTCTCCCTTGAAAAAAGAGATCGTTGATCTCAATGGGATTTTACCTGGTTAAATAAAGGCTACAAACAAACTAACTAAACATGGAGAAGCAGCTTTTAGTTATTATTCTCCAAATATCTGGAAAAAACTACCAGAAAACGGCAGGTCCACAACTCAAACTACTTTTGAATCAAGATTTAAGAACATTCATTTTTTAATAAATCAAACTACTTTGTAACTTCGTATTCTATTTGAGTTTGTTTCTATGCATTCCTCTTTTTAATGCCTGTATTTTTAAATGTATTTTAAAGTAATTTCCATAATTGAATTATCTTAATACTTTAAAATGCTTTGCCTTACAGTAAAATAATGTAATGGGGGTATATTCAAAAGTACATTTTGTTGAGCTCCCTGGGATAGACGGGACACTAAAGGAAATAAATCTACTTTTCTCTTGTAGGAACAAGCTGACTTAAAGCTTCACACCGGGGAGCTGAAACAGAAGCAGATGGTTGTGGCACAGGAGAGGGAGACTCTGGAAAGACTGAGAGAGGAACTGGACAGCGAGAAAGACAGAATCAGCAGCACCGCGCTGAGACTCAAGACACGAGCCCAGGAGGTGGAGGCCTTCAGCAAGGTACATTAACACCGTGATTCCTACATGAAGTGCAGGAAACAATGTGCAATATCTTGAGTTTGGACAACGTATACCTTTTACAGCTTGCTGCAGAGAAGTTTGAGGAAGGAGAACGAGCGTTGCAGGAGGCAAAACGAGTGGAGACTGACCACGAGGCGAGACTCAGAAATATCCATTCGCAGACAGAGCGGCTGAGGCAGCAAGAACAACGAATCCATCAGGTGAGTGTCTCAGACAGCCATATTCTTCAGATTTGGCTTTTTATACAAATATTTTGATCACACGGATTGTAACTGTACATCAACTATTTTTCATCCAGGAGCGAATGCGGTTAAGTCATCTGCAGAAGGACACAGAGATGTCGAGACAAGACGCTCCCATTAGCTCGTTTGCACAAATTACACCAAGCCTACCAGGTGAGGTCTTATCCAGTTGACTATAATAAAAAATAAAGAGTAACCCAAAATTACCCCATTTGATGATATATTATGTATGTGTAGATTCAGTGTTGCCAAACCCCGAGCTGACATCAACCCTGAACTTTCCACCTCTGACTTCGTTGGCCAACTCTAAGTCCATGGCTCTCCAGGCTAGTCTGACTCTCTGGAAGTACACGGCAGAAAAGGTATCCACTGGAGTCCGATAGAAATGTCTTGTCCTTCATTAGGAATTCTTACTAGTATGAAAAAAAAATTATGTGATCATTTATATGGGTGCATAAGATTGAAAGTATTATTCTTCCATTGAACAAGTGATAGCCACAGTATCCAAAGGTTGTGATAACTGAAGCTGGTTTAGACCTTATAATGCATAAATAAAATTAAAGCACAAAGATTGATATTGAGGTTTTTAATGTCAATAGGAACAAAATGCCACAGTGGCTCACGGTCACATTCATCAGTAGTAGTACATTTAAAACAACTTTTGTTTCTTCCTAATGCCTTTCTCCACAGGACCGTGAATACCTCCAAGAAGAGCAAGTGTTCTTGGAGAATTTAAAGAAGAAATCTTACAGATCGACCTTCAACACAGATTGACCAATGCATGCTGGGCACTCCCAGTAAGATTCGTGCCATTGTACTTGAATGTTTTATACAAACAATTTTATTAAACACGTTTTAGAGCAAACATTGTTTTTCATTTGTACACCAACAAATCTACTGCAGAGTCTGACTTCTGGATCAATCCAAGCCGTTTCTCCTTACATTTGTTCTGCAAGGAAAGAAAAACAAAAACATTTAAAACCAACTACTACAGTTAGCAAACTGTTTCTGCAGTCAAGCCTCAGGTTACCATAGGTCCACACTTATGTTCAGACAGGGATAACTTTTTTCATCACTGGCTTGACTTTAAGTCAACATTAGCACTTGAAATTACCTGAGCAACTTTTCTCAGCACCAGAGGGACGTCATAGGCTTTCATTACTGAATAGGACCTGAAGGGAGAGATTTAACATCTAGATTATTAAGTGTTCAGATTATGCACCTCATAAACATGAAGGTTCAACAATTCTCAGAACAGCTTCAATCGTCAGTTTCGCATAAGACGGCACTTCCTATGCAGCAGTTATCGTCACTGAATAATTGGAAACATGGATGAAAGGCAGTAGGGTGGTACACACCTTTCACCAGGCCACATCATTTTCAACCGACCCAACGAGGACCCTCAAGAACCTTAAAAAGAAAAACTTCTTTAGTGATAGTTCATCAGCAGCATGGGTCGCTACAAGTAAGTATGCAGCTAGTCAGATACCATTGGTTTCAACACTTGTTATTCTGACAGGGATAACAGAATCATCATATATACTGCCTAAACTCAATTATTGAATGCACAGTAGGGTGGTACACACCTTTCACCAGGCCACATCATTTTCAACCGATCCAACGAGGACCCTCAAGAACCTTAAAAAAAAAAAAACTTCTTTAGTGATAGTTCATCAGCAGCATGAGACGCTACAAGTAAGTAAAGTATGCAGCTAGTCAGATACCATTGGTTTCAACACTTGTTATTCTGACAGGGATAACAGAATCATCATATAAACTGCATTGAGCCAATTATTGAATGCACAGTAGGGTGGTACACACCTTTCACCAGGCCTCCTCATTTTCAGAGTGTCAACGAGGACCCACATGAACCCGAGGAACTTTTCTCAGCACCAAAGGGATGTCAGTCTTTCATTACTGATCAGGACCTGCTGGGAGACATTTTACGTCTAGATTATTAAGGGTTTAGATTATGCACACTGTTAACATAAACCCTGAAGGTTCAACAATTCTCAGAACAGCTTCAATCGTCAGTTTCGCATAAGACGGCACTTCCTATGCAGCAGTTATCATCACTGAATCATTGGAAACATGGATCAAAGGCAGCAGGGTGGTACACACCTTTCACCAGGCCCGCATCATTTTCAGCCAGTCTCAACGAGGACCCTCATGAACCTGAAAAAATAAACTTCTTTAGTGATAGTTCATCAGCAGCATGGAACTCTACAAGTAAGTATGCAGATAGTCAGATACCATTGGTTTCAACACTTGTTATTCTGACAGGGATAACAGAATCATCATATAAACTGCATTGAGTCAATTATTGAATGCACAGTAGGGTGGTACACACCTTTCACCAGGTCTCTTCATTTTCAGAGTCAACAAGGACCCACGTGAACCTGAGCAACTTTTCTCAGCACCAAAGGGACGTCATACTGATCAGGACCTGAAGGGAGAGATTTTACATATAGATTATTAAGTGTTTAGATTATGCACACTGTTAACATAAATCCTGAAGGTTCAACAATTCTCAGAACAGCTTCAATCGTCAGTTTCGCATAAGACGGCACTTCCTATGCAGCAGTTATCATCACTGAATAATTGGAAACATGGATTAAAGGTAGCAGGGTGGTACACACCTTTCACCAGGCCCGCATCATTTTCAGCCAGTCTCAATGAGGACCCTCACCTGAAAAAAATAAGAGAAACTTCTTTAGTGATAGTTCATCAGAAGTATGGGACTCTACAAGCAAGTATGCAGATAGTCAGATACCATTGGTTTCAACACTTGTTATTCTGACAGGGATAACAGAATCATCATATATACTGCATAAAGTCAATTATTGAATGCACAGTAGGGTGGTACACACCTTTCACCAGGCCTCCTCATTTTCAGCCAGTGTCAACGAGGACCCACGTGAACCTGAAAAGAAAAACTTCTTTAGTGACAATTCATCAGCAGCATGTGACTCCATAAGTAAGTATGCAGCTAGTCAGATACCATTGGTTTCAACACTTGTTATTTCTGACAGGGATAACAGAATCATCATATAGACTGCATAAAGTCAATAATGTAATGCACACAGGCTCGTCATTCTTACCTTTCATTACGAAGGACTTCGCATCTGATCTGTTGTAGGAAGATTAGCTTCATTCCGCAGGAGGAAAAGCGCCTGTAAGGTAAAGGAAAACAAAATTATTAAGACATGAAATGGCAACTTAACTTATATGCATGTTAAAAAGTAATGTGCCAGTGAATTTAATGCAAAAAAACTTGTGCAAAATAGCGTACTTTTCAACTTAAGCCCAAATGGATTCAAGCACGTGTTGGCCTTAGTCAAGAAGAGCTAACGGCTAACGGTGAAAGCTAGCACAATTCCCATAAAACCACATACAGATTCTCACATTTAAGTATCATTATATAATCATAAAGTATTACCTTTTCAGGGTGGTTCGTCTGCAGCAAACTTCATATTTAGATGTAGAAGCATCACGCCCTGTGAGAGCCACATGCTGCAGAGTGTAGCTTCAACGCAGACAGTGAAGGAGAAGAGGAACGGAAGTCTCGCGTGGAGAGGGCTTTATAGGTTGGAAACGTCACATCCCACGTGACTACTGACTGGGTGTGGCAAAAAGTTTGTAAGTAACGTTACATCTCCATACATATAAGTAGCCTACTATTTAACCATAATAATGATATAAACTGTATGAATCATATACGGAAAAACACTAATGTGTATGCATTAAACACAAGCCTAATATGTGAGTAGCATAGACATGCGTAACAGTAACTTCATACTGGTTATTTGTATCACATTAAACAAAAAAACTGTACATTTGATTTATTTCATTGACTTATTATGTAAGGGAAAACAAAATGTGCATAGCCTGAGCAAGGAATACATCTGTATTGGTCAATATAACCAATAGTTTAATTTGTAATTGATCAATTAATTATGTGTGCCTTTTTGGTGGAGTGTTCTTAATGCTATACTATCCTATAGTTAGGCTTGACAATTGACAATGTTTGTTTGGCCCAAATATTCTATTCGATCTGGTTTCCTGTATATTTCCACGGGATCCACATGCTCTTGGACTATTATCTCTGTATAGCATATGTGTCTTTTTCTATTCTTAATACTGTTCATCTTGGCACAACTTCTGAAATATACTCAACCACACACACTGCTTCATTGCTCTGTCATGTCAAACAAATATTAATTTCACATAAATTAGCATTTTTTAAGCCTAGTTTTTAATATTTGTTTATCTGCATTTTTATCATGTCTGTGCACCAATACACCAAAGCAAATACCTTACAAACCTGCTTGACAATAACCCTGATGCAGGACAGTCAGCCGTGCTCCTCCTGCTCCATCACTGCCATTCCTCCTCCAGTCACTAGGGAGAGACTGTGGACTGGGGAAGCTGCTGCTGTCAGTCAGAGGGTCCCACAGCAGGCTGAGAGGAGTCTGCACCGCCATCCGCACACCGGCCTGCGGGACGCTCTCTCCGAGTCCGCCCGGGATGGAGAAAGACGAAGCGGACCCATCCCGCCAGAGGAACGGGGCGGTGGGCGTGCTGTACGGGGAGTTCACGGACCCGCTCGACGACAGGGTCCGGTACTCGGTGAGCCTCACGGAGAGCGTCCTCACCGTGCAGAGGATCTGCTCCTCACCCGGCCGGAGCAAGGTGCTGTTTAACTTGACAGACTGTGTGGGCTGCCGGGCGTACAGAGGGCCGGACAGCGCGGACGTCGGCGCCTACTTTGCAGCCTATTTCTACCCGTTCAAGAGGCGCTGGATGAGCGCCGGAGTGGCCCGGCAGAGAGTGGAGCAGGGCTTTCGGGTGGCGCTGGTCCAGGACCCGCTCGTTAACCTCCAGGAGGCGGAGAGGTGGGCTCGGGCCATCAGAGATGCCTCCGTGCTGCAGGCTCCCCGGAGAGAAGGTGAGCACTGTGGGGACCGTGCATGGGTCAATGTGCAGCGTGGAACTGAACATGAACTTTATATTACAAATAACGATAGGCCTAGGTGTTACAACAGGGAAATGGGTATTATTATGATGTGAAGATGATTCTAGGTTCAAATCAAAGGTTTTATGACATATGCACAACATGTAGTTTTTGTTAATCTTAAGCATTAGGCTCCTCCAACAGTGCAACACAATACTTAGAAATAAGGAAGTCAAAGTGTGCAAATATAAAAACAATGCAAGTGATAGAGTAAAATGCAGGAATAACAACAAGTATTCTGTGTACATATAAGATAGATATAGTCAAATAATGTAAAGTGAAATACTGTAAAGTAGAATAATGTTATACTATAAGTTATACATATACATAATGTGGAAATGCGAATTAAACACATGTACAGATAAACAGTGTATCAGAAGCTTATGCGAGTACGAGCTCAGGAGTTTAACAGTCTTGCTGCCTCAGGGATAAATCTGTCCCTGAATTGTATGAAACACCATCAACTTGGTCACAGTGGTATCCTATAAGACTATTCTGTAGGTTATCGTATTACTTTTTTTACAAAAGTCTTACAAAGCCAAAATGCAACCACAGCTCAGCTTTCTGCAAGCAGGTTTGTCAGGAAGGATGTGCACATTCCATTATGCTCTCAATAACCTGCTCTACCTGCCGTGAAAGGTGATCCACCCAACCTGCCAGCAGCCCCTACAGCTGCCTTTATTAAACAGCAGAGGGGTGATGGTGGATGTGGAGCATGCTTTAAACACGCACAGTCACAAAACTGATCACTTAAACAGTTAGATGTTCCACTGATCCTGTCAGCAGAGAGTGTGGTTGTGCTCAGGCTTAATTATTCCCGCTCAGTTATTTCCCATTGAGGGTTTCTTTGTTGACGGGTGGAGAAATCGCGTCAAAACAAAGCCTGTTTTTCATCCTGCTTTTTCGAGCAGCTACGTCTAATTAGGTCTCAACATGTCTCGCTCTGTTATAAAATGCAGACTGTCCTCAGGTTCTTTTGTCTTCCAGTCTCATTAGCGACTCCGTGCTCCATCCTGGTAATGTGACTGTAATGAACATGAATACCATATGAGAAGTGTTTATGCAGCTAATTACCCCTATCAGTCATTTGGGAGGAGGTGGTGATGATACTCGCTGATGATAATGGAACAAAGCTGTTTCTGTCCAAAAAATTGTTTATCATTTGGGAGCAAACTCAGAATCAGCTATGTCGAGTTATATCATATCATTTTGACTCATATAGAAATATTTAACAGTTTAAATATAAAGCAGGCACGCTCTCCTGGGCATTTTCAAAGAGGGAAGCGGATATTTGACTTGACAGTGACTAATTTGGTATGCTGGTTTCAGAAGACGGAGTAGGAAGGAATAAGCCTCGAGCTGTACAAACAGGTGAATACAGAGAGCTCCTGTGTGGAGAGGAACACCACCTTCCTCTGGTCTGCAGCCAGCACCAGTTTGGGTTTCATCCCTTTATGCCATGCAGGCAGATGGTAACCTAAGAAGTATCTGGCGACCCCCCCCCCCCTCCCTCTGTCCCTGTCCTCTCACTGGACTCATCAAAGAGCTCCAGCTTGGGAGGTTTTCAAATCACACATACTAATGAACCAGCTCATAGATCTAACAGAGCTCTAACATGTCCTCTCATCTCTTTTTGTGTGCCTCTTTTGAACACAGCGTCTCAGCGATGATGAGATCATGTTATTATTTTATAAGCCTGTTTCAGTACACCACATCCAGGCCAGCCAATAATACAGTATTTAACGGAGAATGATATGTGATTTAAATTAGTAATGTTTTGGTAATAGATGCAATCTGCCTTGTTGGGGAGGATAAATGAAGGTCAGTAGGATTCACTAATCCCCTATTTGCCCACTAAATTAATTGCGTGTCATCTCATCTGGTACTGCAGATGGAAAGGTTGGATTAAAAGTGTAATTGCAGCGCAAGATTGGAATTTTGTCTGGGAGGTATCACTGTGGTGCCCTGCGTATAAAGTGAGTGAACATGGAGTCTAACATGTAATTGTAACTCTACTTATTTATTCTGGTTGGGTTTGGTTGATTCCAACAATACTCTCACTGGGTTTTTGACTCTCACGGCAGGTTCATCGGAATGAATGAGCTGTTAATAATGAAGTGCATATGATATAGTACCGCACTCGCTAATGGTCTGCTACAGTAGCCCCTGCTTAGAGGATCGACAGAGAGTTTGCATGCAAAGGAAGGAGATGATGGATACTCGCTTTGACTTTTTTCTACTAGTGGCTGCCTTCATTGCTACTGGCTGTTTCCTTTTCTGCTTTACAAACAGCTGCTAGCAAGCCAGTTAGAGATTTAAAAGTCCCATGCTTCCAAATATTTATAAAAGTTTTCAAATGAAGAGGAATCAGTCATTTAAATCAACGTAAAGGACTGTTTCCTTTGGTTGTCTTTAAAGGTCTCCTCATGGTTGTGGTTGTATGCCAGAATAACCGTTTATCCAGTTTTAAGACACATTTTTACAATACTGTTTTTTTAGATCTTGGTAGTTTTTAACATCTATTTAAACCAGATTTAGTATTAAGTCATTGGATGTCTGGATCTTAGCTTACCATAGAATAAGTAAAGAGAAACAAAGTTTGCACATATTTGTGATAACTTTGCTTGAAGCCCTCCGGGGCAACTGTCATCCACCAAGCTGTGTTAGAGAAGCAACACATTTTATCAGTGCTTGGTATCACTAATATCTGATACCGGTTAAAAACTTCCCGAACGATGAACCCTGAAGGAATCCTAACTGACTGGAAGTTGACTGCAGTGGCAGCAATGTTGTCAATAACCCCATGATGCCATTAAAGATTGAAGATTGTAAATTGTAAATTGCATTGTAGATTATCTTGATTTCTCACAAACTTCTTGGTCTGGCCCCAGTGCACCCTTGATGTGAAAATTGCAAATTCTTACAAAGTATTCCACTAGCTAGCAACAAAAGCAGCCACAGGGTCAGGTGTGTGTCGGTCAGTGTGGGATGTATCCTCCCTGAGGCTGAGCTGAAGCAGCCGCAGCCTCCTCAATGTAGGAGACAAGAGCAGGAGCTAAAAATGCATCACCGTACGACCTCTAACCCCACCCAACATCTCTGCCCCTCCGGAGCCTTCGTCTCCTGCTCTGTGACACATGGCTGAGATGGCCTGTCAACACCCCCCCCCCCCCCCCTTCTTCCCCCCGCCTGCCCGCAGTCTGGTGATGCCTCAGTGGGCAGCTGTGTTTAAATCTCTTCCCCTGCTCTCCGGCAAACTATCACCCAACCTTGGAATTCAGCTTGTTTGCGGACACGTCAGTCTGGTTTGGATACGGTGCTACTTCTGCAGCTTCCACTGAATAGCTCACATATTTGTTGAATGGTGTCACGCTTCAACAGCTCCCACCTGTTCTTCTTTATGAGATGCTGAAGCTGCACTGCATCTTTATTTAGAACTTTTGAACAATCAGCATGGTGATACACTTTGTGGCACAGAGATGAGAGGTCTTCCTATCAGCTCTGCACTTGTCAACCCTGTCACATTCAGGCTGCCTGTGTGAGTGTCTATCTGACTGTATCTGTAAAATACTCACACTTCAGTGGAAGTTTGCTTGCCAGTGTGACTGTCAGGAACTGCCGCAGTTATCTCACTTCACATCACGGACACATTTCACATTCACCCACATACCCTGCTTCTATCTTCCTGTCACACACAAACAGGCACTGCACAGGAGGAACGTCTGGGGAAAATACATTTTTGGAGACATAAATTGGGAGCACCACATTCAAAAACAATATTTGATCAGTTTAGTATTGAGCTGCCTTGATTTTGGCAGTCTTGTTTGGTTGTAAAATTTAAGAAAGATTGTTTAAACCTGTGTGTTCCAGAACTTTTTTGTTTATGACAAGTTCAGCTAAAAAGGGATTTCTATGATTCATAATGGACCGGTTTGGTTTCCGTCTTATTTTCATGAACGCATCAGGCAAGTCTGGGAAGGTAATACTCATTTATCAATGGGAAGACTCGACTTTATAGCACTTTTGCTTAATGGTATCTAATAAACTGGCATTTGATTGCACAAAAACATAATTGTATTTTCATTTCATTTCAAACCTTTATGTATTTATTGCTTGTATGAATGCTTTGAAAACTTTTTTTCACGGTAGGTTACATTCATTTAGGGACCACTAGTAGTTGGCCATTATATTTCTGTGGATTGATGACTCAATCAATAATCCTAATGGAGTAGTTATTTTAGCTTTACTTTACATTATTGGAATACCGAAGGAAAGTAAAACCATGTCTTGAATTGTGATTATGGTTCTTCCTTATAATACAAAGACTAAGGATCTATTAGAAATCCCACCTTTTTTAGGCTATTTAATAAATTCCCTTGAAGCACAGGGGATTTTAGAGCAACCCATGGGTCTGAAGATGTAGCATGATAATCCAAATGAATTGCCATTTTTCTTTACTCCCTCATTCATAATTCTGTTTCAATCATCAGAGTTGTGTGCTTTGAATCAGATACCTGGAGCCATGCAGGGTATTGAAGGACAAAGACAAAATATTAAACTGGATATGCTATGCAGCTCAGCACACTTGAGTGCAAAACCTGTTTTCTAAAGGTCTTTTACCGTCAAAAGCCAGTTTCCACTATATTCTGGAAGTGCAGAGAGGACTCTTTGTGTCTGAAAGCTGCATTGTGCTCTGATCACTGATACAAAACCCTGTGTTAGTGAATGGAGGCAGAGTTTGGCATGTGCCTGTGTGTTTTCACACTCCCTCCTCACCCTTCCTGGCTGTTTTTTTTGGAAGATATTTTTGTACCTCCGCCGAGTCCCATCATCACGGGCCAAATGAGGTGGAGGGTGGTGAAAGCAGCATCAGTGTAGTGAAGGTCACAGGACTGGAAATTGATGCTATGAAAGATATACAGATGCTAATGAGTCACAACTAGGCTTCTGGTGTCTTACTGTATCCATCTTAATTTATTTACATGATATATTACATTATATATTTTGTGCTTCTGGTAATTGTGTCATCCTTATACCAAAGTCAGCATCACCCACAGCCAAAGAAGTCTGGTGGAAATGAATACTTATACGTTTCTGTCCTCCACACATTGCATTTTTTGTCCTCTGACTCATCTTATATGGTGTCTAGTGAGTCTGTGTCTGCTTTAAAGGGCATCAGCGGAAAAATCCAGCTCTGGGCAAAGCTTCTCTCCAAATGTATTTTAAAAAGCTGCAAACCATTTAAGTGGCAGCCAGTGTCACAATTAAGTGGCTGAACCTGATCCTCCCACTTAAAAACAGATTTAAAAAGAATGGGAACTTTATCTAAGTTGAACAAATAACTCAATACTCTTTAAAGAAGTCATGTAATTGCTATTAATGAATACGATACTTTGATAGGCCTTTATTTTAATTATATTTAGCAGGTGATATCCAACCACTACACAATGGCTTATACAATAAATAATATGCCTCTCTCCCCCCTCACTTCAACGCGATATGAGATTTGGAGAAATATTTGTATGAGCTATCTTCTGAGAGTTTAATACGAACAGCTCTCTTATTGGTGTGGTACAGTAGCTACAGCTAGCATCTGATCGTCTTAGCTTATCATAAAGAGCAGAAACAGCTAGCCTAACTATGTCTATCGTTTGTTTTGTCCTTACAAAAACCAATGCGTAAAAACAACAATTTGCTAGTTCATTGGGGTTGTGGGTTAGGCTTATTCTTGACCAAGACCAGTAACTTCCTGGAGTCTCAGCTGTTTGACTGACAGCAGCTTTTAGTTTAGGCGAACCTGTTATTAGTGAGCTTTAGATGGATTTTATTGCCTTGATGTTGCCAAGCTAGTGTTTTTTGTGTTACGTTTCTTACTGCTAAGCTAAGCTACATAGCAACATGTCAAACTATTGATTTAACAGTAGTGCAACTTCCCATCTCCATGTTTCTTTCTTAACATCTTTGATTTACTTTTCTTATTTGTAATATGTCAATTGACCAAGTTGCACTTCTCGAGCTAGATGCTACATTACCCCAGTGCTTCAAAGTATAGTCACTCCGTTAGCTACTCAGCTAGCAACAGTAGGATTTTCTCATGGGGGATTGATAATATGTCACAGATTTGCTATTAATAATGGTTTGAAAGGCACCTGTATGTCCTCTCCTTGAAGAAAGCAGCAAGTCACATTAACGTTAGGCATCTGAATGCTGTCACAGCCTCTGACTTTAGTGTTTCATGCTCTTTTATTTCCCTCAGGGACAAGACTGTCCTTATACATTCTTTTGAATATTTGATCATGCATAAAAAGACCTCCTCTTGTCTTCTTGCTTCATTTCTTCCAAGGCCTTTGCTCACTTCCACCTCTCTCTTGCTCAGGTGCGGTGTATGCGGAGGTGCGTCGGCCCTGCAGAGTCATGATTCTGGTGAATCCCCACAGCGGCCGGGGCCAGGCTCTGCAGCTCTTCACCGGCCACGTGCAGGGCATGCTGACCGAGGCCGCTGTTCCCTACACGCTCGTCATCACAGGTCAGTAGTGTTCACACACATAGATAGATAGATAGATAGATAGATAGATAGATAGATAGATCGTACTTTATTGATCCCAAATTGGGAAATTGTTTTTGTTACAGCAGCATAAAAGGCATTTTACAATAAAACAAAACTACAAAATATACAAGAATAGAAATAAAATAAAATAAAATATAAAATATAAAATATAAAATATACATGTCGAAATATAAAATATACATGCAGATATTATATATATATATATATACAAATATATATATATATATATATTCAAAATATATGAAATATGGAGTATTAAATATGAAACAGATTATGTATGAGTAAAATGTACAACGTGGTTTTATTTCAAGAGAAACTATGGAGCAGAGAGTTCTCTTCCAGCCAGAGGTGATTTATTGTACAGTGTTATTGCAGTGGGCAGGAATGTTTTCCAGTATCTGTCCTTGAGACAGGGGAGCTGCAGCAGTCTGTTGGAGAAGGAGCTCCGTTGACTGTCCAGCTGCAGGTGGAGAGGATGGGTGGGGTTATCCATGATGGACAACAGCCTGTTCAGTGTCCTCCTCTCCACCACAGCTTCAAAGGGGTCCAGCTTGATGCCGATGACTGACCCAGCTTTCCTGATCAGTTTATTGATCCTGCTGGTGTCACCGGCTCTGATGCTGCCCCCCCAGCAGACAGCAGCAAAGAAGAGTGCACTAGCCACAACAGACTGATAGAAGATCTCCAGCATCTTACTGCATACGTTGAAGGATCTCAGCTTCCTCAGAAAATAGAGTCTGCTCATCCCCTTCTTGTACACAGCGTCAGTGTTGATCCTCCAGTTCAGCCCATTGTCTAAGTGCACTCCCGGGTACTTGTAGACCTCCACAACTGCCACATCCTCTCCTATAATGCACAGGGGCAGAGGAGGAGATGTCCTCTTCCTCCTGAAATCAATGACCATCTCTCTGGTCTTGGCCACATTCAGAAGCAGATGATTTCTTCCAGTCCACTCAACAAAATCACCCACCAGCGCTCTGTACTCCTCCTCCCGTCCATCCCTTATACACCCTACCACTGCAGAGTCATCCGAAAACTTCTGCAGATGGCATGACTCTGAGTTGTATAGAAAGTCAGAGGTGTATAAGGTGAACAGGAAAGGAGACAGCACAGTCCCCTGTGGGGCTCCAATACTACCAACCACCACATCAGACAGCACACTGCCCAGCCGGACGTACTGTTGTCTGTCCGTGAGGTAGTTGGTAATCCAGGAGATGGTGGACGAGTTTACCCTCATAGCCTGCAGCTTGTCACTCAGTAGCCGAGGCTGGATCGTGTTGAATGCACTGGAGAAATAAAAAAAGGTGATTCTCACAGTGCAACCCGATCCATTCAGGTATGAGTGAGCACGCTGCAGCAGGTAAATAATGGCATCGTCCACCCCCAGGTGAGGCTGGTAGGCAAATTGCAGAGGGTCAAGGAATGATCTCACCTGCGGTCTGAGATGGGCCGCAGATCATGCAGATCTTTATTGTTCATGTATTTAACCCGCGCTTTCTCAATGTCACCCTGCCATGACACAGGGATTAAACCTTTAACCCCAGTGTGGGACAATTACGCTAAGAGCTCACACACACAACCCCCAGGTGAAAAGTGTAAACATTGCAGTGAATACTTTATTGCAATTTGTTATGTTTTCTGAAACTCTATACTGAAAGTGAAAAAAATAAGCATTGTTTTGTAAAATATGCTTCAGATCTCCAGAAAATAAATCTGCAAGTTCCTGTTTCATTTTGTTGACATATTAGAGTCAAATGTTATATTAATCAGACTATTAATGATATGAACAAACCACTGTCTACAAATCCTCAACATTTAGATAAGAATCAAACTGGAAAGTTTTGATCAATGTACGTGCTACTAAAGTCGAGATTTTTTCGCTCAACAGCCATTAAAAATATGTATTGTAAAAGTCGATACACATTATCTACTGCTATCTGTTGGTGAATTTAGAAGAGATATACAGACCCAAATAGACAAAGTGTAGTGAATCAAACAGCAAAAGTGTATCTCACATGATTTTTCCCCTTATCTAAAAAAATACTTTATGAATGCAAATAGCCCATAATCTCAAAATTGATCATTGCATGAAAACAACTGTATTTGCCTGTAGTGTCCTCCTTAAACTAACCTTCATTTTAGGAAGCAATTTCACTCTCTGCAGTTATGATGCATTATTTGTGTCATACATTTACAGGCCACATCTGCAGGCACCCGAGCTCTGATGCACATCCAATCTCCATCTCAGTCGCCCCAGCTGCGCCACATTCTGTGTGAAATGCTGGTAGTTCTTTGTGACGTCAAACAGTGTGTTGGTTAAGGTCGTCAGAGATGCTGAACTTGAACTGACCCCCCTGAATACTAAGGATCAGAAACAAAGAAAAACAATGCTCAGCTTCATTTTCATGCACCTTTTACTCCAACCCCAGGATTTGACAGGTTAGAATTCGCTCACCCAGTGTTAGTTTGGCAGAGCATGAGCTGAATATCTGATATTTACCAAAGAGAGATTAAATATGACAGCCAAAAATAGGGAGAATCTGTGTTTGTTTATTTTACAAATTGAGTGCTGATGCGTATGCAGGCTCTTGTGCCGACTCCTGGGACTTAAAAGAAAGGTCAGCAGCTGGATGGTGATGAAAAAAGGCGGAGTAATTACTGACGTTGACTTAGGGCGAGCAGAGCCCTAAGGAGGGGGGGAAATATGGGTCGCTGAGAGCCTTCAGTGGTCAGATACCGTAGCCTGTGAGGAGCGACCGTGAGTGGATTAACTGGCACAACCCATTTATCCTGCACGCAGCTCCTTGATGAATGTATCACACAGCGTTTGCCCGAAGAAGGACACGTTCCAGTGGAGGCGCCTCTTGTGTCAGCATGTACCTTTTACATAGTGTATGAAGCATCCAGAGCACCAAGCAGCATCTTCACCCTGAATAACCTGAGAGGGAGCCGGTAGAGATGGAGGGAAATGGTAGATTGGACTGAAACTTACCTGAGATTTCTAGTCTTCACTAACAGTATGTCTCGCCTTAACAGAGTGCAATTATCAGCCATAGTCTTTGCAGCTTAAAGAAGAATCAACAGTGGATATGACAATTGGATTACATGAAAACCAGGGCTGGGGAGTAACTAGTGACACGCAACGGTATTGCGCAATTAAATAAATAAATGTAGTCTGTTACAGTTACTGAGAAAAAAGTCAATCACAGACAAAAAATGACCAATCTGAGTGCAAAAGCATTAAGGAGCTTTATCTATGTTCTCTTTTTACATCCATTGTCTCTACGCCCAGACACACGTCATTAATTTGACAGTATGCCTTAACGATTTGAGTATTGTTTTTCATTGGTTAGTTTGTTTGATTTGCGCCGCCTTTTGTCTGTCATGCCTGCAACCACCTGGCCAAGCCTTATGTGGAGGAAAAGGGCTGTAACATTAATTGACATTACTTTGACACAGGGTATAGCAATCTAAATCCTATTCCATTTCAATAGTTATCTTCCCAACCATACAGTAAGCGGCCCCTGTCTTTAGGGTTTAGTCTGAGGTGTGTGTTTGTCTGTGACCCCTTGAATAAGGAAGTAGCTGGAAAGCAAAGCATCAACCCAAGCAGGTTAAAAGGGCTGAGTCAGCTGAGCCGTGCAGTTACTGTACTCCTTAACTGCCTCTGTCTGTCAACACAGCACTGCCTCGCTGCCTCCAGCCTCCACACAGCAAACAAACAGCAGCAACAGAGGCCCGGGAGAGTGTAAAGGGGGGAGACAGGTAGAGGTTGAGGAAAGGAGAGGGAAGTTGTTTTTATTTCTGTCCTGTACTCGATCGATACCTGAGCTAGAGCGGAAAAATATATCCTTAGTGATGGCAGTGCGTCTATACTTGCTAACTTCTTTGCTGTCTGCCTTCCTGTCTCTGTCTTTCACTCTCTTTAAAGCTGACTTCCTCCACACACACTCACACACACACTCTGGGGAGTCTCGGTTGGTAGGACTGTAGACTTTAATGCTGGCAGGATGAGCCCCTGCAGGGAACCACTCAAGGACGCCGCCAATAAATCTAGGCTGAACAAATAGCTCAGTTCTCCGCCGGCGCATTAACAAACACTCGCATGCACGAACACACACACAAACACACCGAACACATGCATCCAGTCAATGCACATACACAGGATATTTGTCAGTCCCAGATGTTTGCAGGGCGGCTCAGCTGCCTCTGAGCTGTTGAGTAGCCGCTGGTTGGGCTAATGTGATGTGTTTGGCCTTATACGGGGAAATTGAATCTCTTTTCCGCCTAATCTCCCTGATACCACCCCAGAGGCTGGCGATGAAGGCAGCTTGCCTCTTTCTCTGCCATTGCCCTCGTTTGTATTGTGATGGTTTGTCTGACACATTCTTGTTTGTCCTCTCTCTTGCACTTGTTTCTTTCCTCAGAGCACCAGAACCATGCTCGGGAGCTGGTGAGGAAGGCCGACCTGTCGCAATGTGACGCTCTGGTTATCATGTCTGGAGACGGGCTGCTGTTTGAGGTGCTTTGACTGACTAATGTGATATGATAATCAATATAAAAGATGTAAAATGCCAGGATTAAAACACATGAAACAAATAAGTTATGTGAAATACAAGACAAATTGGTATCTTTATTCATTTAATTATTTTCATTTACATATGACATTCCATTTATTTATTGTTGGATTGATACAGTCTATACATGCTAGACAATACAATATAGCTAACAATTTAGCATTATACCTGCACAGCTTTTTCATCTGTATTTGTACATTTTTTGGTAATTATTATTACTTAGTTTAGCATTTTTAGAACCCTTGTTGTATTTGTTTTTAAGAATTATACACCATGGTCTGAGAGAAATTGTTATTCAATATTTCATGTAGAGATTGCAGAAGTAGATTTGTTCTTTTTTTTTTGGCTTGTTTTCTATTTGTGCATTTCAAACCTGACAGTAAATCAATCAAATACAGAGGGAAATCATATGAGCTCTCTTAGCTGTATTTTTTCTTCAGAATAGGCTTGGATTTTTTATTTATTTATACTATGACAAAATAGCTCAGTGTCTGGGATTCCAGCACCTGCAATCTCTGCCATCTCTTAATAATATTACATTTTAAGTCTTACATTTTCTTCTAGTGATGGCTTATGTTTCTTTTACTGTTGACGTACAATATTTAACACCATGGTCTGAGAGTTTTCTCATAACTCAATGACAGTAGGAATTTATCATTCTTGAGTCCAGATGGTTCCCATTAATTATTTTACTCGACACAAAACAACTGTAGCTCTCAAAGAAACACATTTAATCTGAACCTCTTATCACACACAGACACTACTTTCCATTAGGCTCATGATCTGTTTCTGTTTGTTCTTGTTCATCCAGGTGATAAATGGCCTGATGGAGCGGGAGGACTGGCAGGAGGCTATCCAGACCCCTCTGGGTATTCTGCCAGGTGGCTCCGGCAACGCCCTGGCTGCCTCTGTCCACCACTACTCACAGTGAGTCAGTCCGTTAATGAGTCATTTAAATGCATGGACCAAGAGTGCAGGAGAACAACCACACTCTGCCTTAAAAAAAGAACGATTTATCTCCTTTCGCTGTAATTATGCCAAAGGCTGACTGGGCACATCAATTCTCAGGAGGGAGGAGAGACAGCGGAGCAAAAACTGGAACTGCTTCGCTGTGCAACAGAGGTCATTCCAGGCCGCTGATAACTCTCAAAGGAATGATGTAATGGGTTTAAAAACGTCCACATTATGAGCGATTATATTCCAGAATACAGCGGTGGAACCAGTTGTGGTCCAGGTTTTCATCTCCATCTGCTGGTTGGCAGTGGGCACAACGTCAATTAAAAAAACTATACAGGATCTATCACCTTGAGGTGTTTACTTGTGCTGCCCTACAGGGTGCAGGTGTGGGCAGAATTGAAAGATTACTGTGGGCATGTGTCCCAATTATTTTCACAGAAATAGTTACTGAAAACTAGTTGGGTACTATTCACTTTTGAACCAATATCATTAGCCAACAGTTTCTCCAAGGTACCGAAAATGTGTAACAGACATAACTTGAAAAAGTACTCGGCAAATCCAACTAATAATTTGGTCGGTACCCACAAAAGTTTGGTTCCCAACCCCAGTGATTGCACATTTACATGATGTTTGGTTCTGCCAATCTAAGACCCCATCGGCTATCTGTCTGACAATGATAAGCGTCTGATAATATCTTTATGGTATTGGTGTGGCAATCCGATATTTCCTTTTCTATGCGCTGTTTGTTGATAACAGTCCACTTAGCATATTAAGATATGAGAATGGAGTTGGAGTTGAGAGACAAAGTCTAGGATGGGATCCGAAATATCCAGGTTCAAGCTTATTTTAAGCTTATTATATGCTAAATTCTCGTTCGAAGATAGGCGATGGACTTTTAGATTGCATTTAGGCCAATGTGTTCCACACAGACTGTTAAACAGCAATCCACCAAAGTCTACTCAAACTTGATTGGACAATACTTCTTAGACTACAAATGTAAACTATAGTGCTTCTGACCGAATCTTCTAAAATCCCTTTGACTGAAAATTCTGCAATTCTGCAAAAACAATTTATAGTGATTACGGTCTTACGGATTGTTTCTAACTCTTGACGTTTGTAACCATCTCTCAGGTCGCCTCCAGCTTGGAACGAGGAGCTTCTGCTGAGCTGTGGCTTCATGCTGTGCAAAGGTCTTGTTGGCTCCATGGACCTGGTGTCGATCCACCTGGCCTCTAGACAGCGCCTCTTCTCCTTCCTGTCCCTGGCCTGGGGTTTCGTGGCCGACGTCGACATCGAGAGCGAGAAGTACCGCCACGTCGGAGCCATTCGCTTCCTGATGGGCACCCTGGTGCGTCTGGCCTCCCTCAGAGTCTACCAGGGCAGGTTGGCGTATCTTCCAGTTAAAGAGGCGCCAAAACTTCCAAAAGGGAGCATCAAGTCTAACCAGCCTCCCTCCACCCCTCAGCATCAGTCGCTCTGCTCCTCCCTTCCCTGCCGACTCATCCCCAACACCTCTCCGAACCGAAACTCTCGACACAATCACAACAGCACAAATTCCAACCACAACACCCTCACCAACTCCTCCAACAACGCTATCACCACCAAGAGACCGGAGACTCAGAGCGACGGAAAGACCAGAGCACCGGAGGACTCTCTTCTCCCCGGGCTCGATCAGCCGATACCAGACAGCTGGACGGTCGTCAAGGAGGAGGACTTTGTCTTGGTGCTGGCTATTTACCAGTCCCACCTGGCCGAGGATCTGTGGACAGCGCCGGGGGCGATGGCGGACGACGGGGTGATTCATCTGTTCTATGTGACAGCAGGAATCTCCCGTCCAGCCCTCTTGCGGCTGTTCCTCGCCATGGAGAAGGGCGGCCACTTGGCGTGCGGCTGCCCCCACCTGGTGTATGAGAAGGTGAAGGCCCTGCGGCTGGAGCCCGTCTCGCCACAAGGCATGATCACTGTGGACGGGGAGATGGTGGAGTACGGGCCAGTTCAGGCTCAAATCCACCCAGGACTGGCCAAATTCATTTGTGGATGAACTGGGATTATCTTGATCTTTTTCTGCCTGTAGAGCTTTTTAGTTTGGCCTTTTATACTCAGTGTCAATTCCTCTCTGTATGCTGTGTTTTCAGAAGTGCCAAAGACATTTGATCAGCCTCTGGAAATTCCTCTATTTTTCTACAGAAGTAACTCGTCCTATTTTTATGAACCCCCTCCCGTCCCCTCTTTCTGGCAATGTTTGATTCAGGGTCAAAGCCATGTATGGTTGTTCTGGCTGCTGGCTGGTCCCAGCTTAGACAAACGGTTAGAGATTGTGTGAGTGTTCATCACCAATGGAGATCTTTATGTATGTTTGTGTGCACTCATGTGTGTGTATGTGTGAGATTGTGCATGAGGAGCTTTGGCACATAGCGGCGCAGGGGCAGAGGAGTGCATTGTGCACTCTGCTGTCGGTCCTCATAAGCACATTTCCCCGTCCTGGGAGGCTCGCGGAGTAGCCACGCCCCCTGTTCCACTGTGCTACCCCAGGCCGACAATCTCCCTCCTGGGCAAACCGCTCTGAATCTGAAATCCCCCAGGGATTTGATGTTGAACAATCTTTAATCTTTGCATAGCTTATATTACTCAAACAATCTCAAAACCAGTCACACACACACAATATAAGAAGGTGGAGCAGAAAAAAACATGGCCAGCTGTGGTTACACCTCCACTCCCTGTCCTGTGCGCTCCTGCTTCATCTGCAACCATCATCAAACTGCCTCCACTCACACATAAACACACACTTTCTTTCCCCCATCCCCCCTCCTCCTACTGTATGTACAGCTCCTCACATACACACACTCATACACACACATTCCCTTGCATCTCTGCAGCACTTAGCGAGGGGGAGGGGCATGGTCTGCTACTGTGCATATGATCCCCTCTCCTCTTGCCGTCTTAAGATTGTACGCTCCCTCCCTCCTTTGGTTAATGAGCCATCAGCACCTAATGTGCCCTTAATACCGAGCTTTACATCTGCAGAAGCGTGCAAAATAAGAGTTTCTAATCACACGAAAGCTTTAAAGTGAGTTTTAGCGTTTCACACTTACTGGACCGGTTGAGTAAAGTAGAGAGAGCAGGGTTTCACACCGGGTCTCTCAGCGATGCATATTGAGAGACATCAGATCAATGTGAGCTGGACGGAGTCAAGTGCTCTGCTCCACTGTGTGGCCTTTTTCTCTGGTTTGCTGGTGATGCGGTGGTGAGCATTATCATCAGTTTCTCCCAATACCCTCACACACTAGTTTATTTCAGGTCACTACATCCCCACCCACAGGTATGGTGCAGCTATCATCACTTTCAGAGAGGGAGCTGTCATTCCTGACCTTAAAAACAAATCCTGTTCTTCTGTTAAAGGGGACCTATCATGCAAAATGCACTTTTGTACGTCTTTTATACATGAATATGTGTCCCCGGTGTTCCAGGGAACTCACCAAGTGTCAGAAAACACAACCCTCTCTATTTTCCTCCATACCTAAATCTCTAAAAAAGGGGCTGCAACGGATCTGATAAAAACTGATCCAGATTTGAACACTGTCCTGACGTCAGGACGGTGGCGCTACGGCTATTGGGCCAACTCCACCAATCAGAAGGAGACAGCCACGGCCATTGCCGTTCGAAAGCGCTGGAGATGCTGTAGTACATATGCCAGGCCTGTAGGTGGTGCTGTTCTCACTGAATCAGCCCTTGCTAAAACAGAGCTAAAACAGTGCAAATTGAGCGAAATGAGGCATGGCTAAAATGCATGATCTGTTTGGTATTTTGAAAAAAAAAAAGTATAAATATGCCTTATATAGGTATGGTCCTACACTATATTATTATGATATAGCATGATAGGTCCACTTTAAGAAAGGAATATCAGCAAGGTTAAGGAGACATTATGAATGCTGATGCATAACAACAAAATCACCTCTCATGTTGAAAGTGAAAAACAAAATGTTGACGGGCAAATGGGGTTAAAAGAAATGCTTATTACCAGCTTTTAAAGGTTTTAGATGGATACATCACTGTCATCCTGAGTGCAATACAGTCAATGCTATGAGCTGATAGTGCACATTATTTTCCTGCTGATTTTTTCTGGAGCTTGTGAAGTAGTGTCTGCAAGAAGAAGCGTAAATGCTAACATTTCTTCACATCATAAATTCAGAGAGAACCTTCCTTCTTTAAGGACTGTATGAAAATGATTGTGTTGCCTGTCAGGGCTGGGCAATATGGCCAAACATTTTATTAAATGCCACATGACTAAAGTATGATTGAAATAGCATTTTATTAGAACTTCATGTAAAAAGATAGTTGAGTGATATTGACAAACTGAATTATGCACATTAAGGTCCTGCAGCAATAGATCCTAATATGTGTCCCACGACAAGGCTTCAGTTGCAAACAGGTGCAAGCCGGCGTTAGACACCAAGCAGGTAAAGACGAAATGAAAAAAGAAGATTCCGCAAACTGATCTCTTGACTATTTCAAAAACGAAACTTTTTGTCAATATTAAAAAAATAATAATCTAAAGCAAATCCTACATTTTTCGTGTCATGGAAAGCAACATTTGGATGAATCCAGTTTATTTTATAAATGAATTGCCCAGCCCTGCAATACATTCTTACTGGTATTCTCCTGCTGATAAAGTTAGAAACTATTCAAATCTGCTGAGATTATGTAAAATCAATCACTAATAACCAGAAGTCAAACTAAGTAATTGTTTAACAAGTAAATCGTAAATCCTAATTATTTGAGCTTAAAATCCGAAACTGCTCAAAACAAGACATTATATTTGCGATTACTTTCTACTCGATTCCACACTTCGGCTAACAACTACATATAAAGAACCATGTTATTATGCTTCTTTATACCTGACATACCGACGCTGTTAGCTACTGCAAAGATACACATTTTTCTTCCTCATATGGCAACATCCATCATGACTCACAACGTGCACAAAAGCCTTAATTTTGTGCACTTAATTCTCTTCCCTTGATAACCCATAACATACTTGAAGTTGACCTCTACCATCTTCACTGCAGTGCCGATTTTTTGCCTATTACTTGATTTTACATTCTGAGACATTATCATGTACTACTGTGTGAGTCATTGCTTCAACTCATGTCCAACATACTGTACCTCCTACCATTACTGTATCCTCAGCAAAGTGATCCAGGTGCTTTGAATGCATTTTCATGTTCTCACTCATGAACTCGCAGCTGCCCACGTGCACAGTTCAATACTAAATGTATGAAGTACATCTCATATGGGTAGGGATTAGCTATGCAAATGCCTTGTCATGGCTGCAGATATCTGGAGTTAGGGCGTCCTCTGCTGGACCGCTCATAAATTCACAATTTTATCTTATGTTGTACAATGCAATCGACTGTTTCTTGCTTCTTATATTTACAGTCATTAATCGATTAGATTTATTTAGCTCAGCCGCAAGAGACATTTCATTCTTCTTACAAATGTTCAATAATGGAATCCAACATCCAGCTTATTGTAATTAAGAGAAATGGACTTGATACTTGCATAGAAACATTGCTGCAAATATAAACAACAATGCTACATCTCAGAAAAAACACTACTGTTAACTTATGCTACTATACTGTTAAATTGTTATTTACTGCTTTAATGTAACAGCAGTTCTTTTTTTTAACACAACTGTTAATACTTGTCTTTGTCATACTGTCATGCCATTTTATGAACGAGTTAAGAAGGTTGTGTCACAGACCTGAACCCATGACGTTTTTATGGTACTGAATATGAAATGCTTTCTTTACTCTATGTTTAACTCAAAAACTGCTGAGTTCACATTCATCTAAAGACTGAACATGACCGAAAGGTGATGAATGTTTTATTTTCTGTTAATGAGGTGATATAAACTGGGTTTTATTGCAGTAGATAAGGTGATCCAAGTGGAAGGATTGAATGTTTTATTCTGTCCTTGTTAGTTGAAGAAAATGTCCGCCAGGTATTTGCAGCTTTCTACTTTGAAGTAAATAGGGAAACACAGTTCTCTAAAGAGTGCCTTAGCCATTACCCAAGACAGCAGATAGGTGGTGCACAGAAAACAAAAACTAAGGGAAACATATTTTAAAAAATAAATCATTTAGCACATGATCTTCCTTATTATAGGCAGGATTCTGTATGATATGTAAAGCTTTCTGTAAAAGAGTTGTTATTACATATTTTTAACTGGCTGTTGACGTCCAGGTATTATTCATCTTTTATTTTGTTGTAATTCTTTGTTCATTGACTTATCAATCAATACAAATATTCATATGAAAAATGTGCTTCTTTGTGTGCTGATTATAATCAAGGTGTTTCAAATAGGAGTAACATCTGAGTGTTGGCAGTGGATTTTCACATTTGGGAAATAAAAACTTTGTCCAGGGTAGTCGTACCGTCACCAAAATCACACTGGTGTTTGCTGCCCCCCTGTAGTTTGTGCACACAAAAGCATTTTACTCTGGGCTCAGCAGGTGAGAAACTAAAGAGGGGCTTCCACATGTGGCAGACCAGGTGTTGGTGCTGCCGGATTTGGCTATAGGCCTACTATAACTTTGTCCAAGATAGTCACACTGTCACCAAAATCCCACCAGTGTTGGTTGTTTCCATCTTAGGGGCCTACACACCAAACTGACACCAAAGAACACGTCCCGACCTGTTGTGTCGCCTCACGTCTCCTGCGTCTTGGCCAACAGTCGCACTGGAACACACCGCAAGGACTTCAGCCGACGGCCAAGTAGCACGTACGAACTGCGCATTCTTGAGTGGCAATAACTCTCCTTACCAGCAGGCGGCGGTAGTTTGTATTCGTCATTCAAAAGAGGCAACAACCGGAAGACAGACTGCGTGATACACCGAGAGAAGAAGAACAGACTGCGTGATATAAACAAACAACAAATAGCGTGTGCGTTCCATTTTCACTCTACAGCGAGAAGCTCATGGGGCTTTCCCGAACCTGTGTCAAGAGTTGGAGTTAAATGAAATCTCAGATTTGCCTTCTTAATCGTTTGTTTTGGTCCCTCACTTCCGTTTCGCTTCTCATGCACTGATTCGCTAAGCTGAACAGCCAATCAGAGTGATTTCTTTGGCCAACGGCCTTTAGCCGACAGCCTCCCGATTCAACATGTTGAATCGACGGTGGAAGGTGTCGGAACGGCCAAAAACACACGACGGTGCAGGACACACCAATCTGAGTAGGGCGACAGGACGCTCATCGACGGCCAGACATCTATCGACATCTATCGACATCTATCGACGCCAAAAATCGGCCCGGTGTGTCCGTATGATTTCCATCTCCGGCAGAGCAGATTTTCTATCCTGAGGATAATTAAGACCTTGTATTTGCATGCTGACCATGTCCTTTCTCTGTTTTTCTCTTAGTTTTTTCCTGGCAATGAGAAATCCCTGCTTTTATAAGTTCAAGTGTTTTAAAGTCTTTCAACTGTGCAGGAACACAAAATAAAGAAGAGTATATTTACCCTAACCCAAATTGTCCAAATTTGTGGTATCTTCTCCATTGATTACAATAGGTTTGTAAAAGCTAATTACAATACTAAGACCAATAATACATTTGTATTGTTCTTAATATTAGTGTTCTGTTCATCATTGTCATCTTGGCCACAGGATCCAGTTTAAGTGTTTACTCATTGTTTTTAAATCATTGCATGGACTGGCACAACACTACCTGTCTGAGTTGTTGCACCGGCATGCTCCAGCATGCTCCAGCTAGCAATGCGCTCAGCAGAACATGTTGGTTCTCTGTGCAAGAAAAAAAACAGAGGTGACAGGGCTTTCGCTGTTGCAGCTCCCAGACTGTGGAACAGCCTCCCAGTACATATCCGGGCTGCTCAGTCTATTGAACTTTATAAATCTCAGCTAAAATGAGCCCTAGCAGTTCCTTAGCAGGTCAGACTGGACCAAAAGTGGGCCCGAGCCGGTCCTGAGGAGTAACTTTAGATATCAGACTCGCAGCATTAGCATTCAGACCTTTGTAAGCTGTGTATTGGATAGCATATGTACTAAAATTGGAACGATCCAGAGAAGACTAGCATGGCCCCTCGCGCAAAGACGGATGACACGCATGTTCGTGAAGTGTTCCTAATTTTTATATTTTAATGATTTTATATGATTTTTCAAAGATTTTATTTAGGCGACACAACGCCGCCGTGGCCGCTGGTGGTATTGCAGCTGCAGAGCGGAGCCCTACGATGTGTTCAAAATCAAACATCTCTGTTAATCTCTTTATGTCTTAAAAACATAGACTGTATATATAAATGGACGTAGGGTCCGTGACGTCACCCATAGGATTCTGCAGAGTTGCAGAAAAGCCCTTAGTAGGCGGAGTCGGCCACTAACGGCTCGACAGTGGCGTCAGAGTTCCACTCCCGCCTGCTCCAGCCTGCTCCAAATAAGGGCAAAGAGGCGGAGCCGAGGCGGGACCTGCTACCACCCATGGATGTATAATAAGAACTGGATACAGCGTTGGAGGCGGGGCCTCATTCATTCCTATGAGAGTTGCTCATTCGCGCATGATGATAAAATGGCCCAATTTTTGAGAGAGCGAAACGTCACAGATTACCCGGCATGTCTAGGGCCGGCCCTGCCTGGTTTTATGTGGTCTAGATGTGAAAAAAGCACTGAAATCTCCCTTTTTAAAATATTCACAAACAGAATTAAGGTTTCACAAATCTCAAACTGTGTTATAAAGAATCTTTAGACTCTCTGGGATAATCCAGTCCAAATAAATCGGCTATGCAGCTATTTAAGAGGTTCAAACACGGAGGATTGTTCGCTCAGCGCTGTAAATTAAATTTCCCTTAACTTTCCCCTTAACTGCCGAATCGGAAGCTCTGAATCAGAAGCCAACTTCAGCGTCGTACAGCACGAGAAGTTGCTGCTGGAGCCTGATAAATTCCACCGGCGGTCATACGATGGCTTAAGATGCCCTCACGAATGGCCTGATGTTGTTACGATCAGAGCCGAATTTGAACATTTCCTTTATCGTGTATCCATCTGGTGTCAATTTCGGGACAGTGTGACGCGGGCTTTAAGAGGTACAAACACGGAGGATTGTTCGCTCAGCTCTGTAAAGTAAATGTCCCTTAACTTTTCCCCTTAACTGGGCTGAGAGATCGCCGTGACTTCCGTAAATATTAGTCTTGGCAAATATGGAGGTTGTTTATCTTCATATCGTTACCCTGATTTTAAGATCTGTCCAGTGTTTCAGCTTTATTCAGGGATGCAAACTTGTCACCTTTCGGCGAAATTCCCCGTTTTGATTCCAAAATAGGTCGTTTGTGTGATTCATGTAGATCTGCAATAAAAATATTTTTGGGGTATGGGGGGTGTCTGGGACCCGGAGTAATCTGCGGCCACGAGCTGTTATGTGCCATCATGACACGCATGGTGTTCTTTTTTTATATATTATAATGAAGCGCGAGCACAAGTCTTCCTGCCTGTCGGCTCTGCTCATGGATGTATAATAAGGCTCTGTTGCTCCGGGATATGGGTCTAGCTTCAGCAGCTACATTACCTACGTGTTACATGTTCGTTAATATTAACTGTGCGGTCCGGAGTCACTGTGGCACAGACTGGACCGCTGGTGAACAGCTGTTAGAACGGGCCGTTCAGGTGTCGGAGCGCAGAGCGTGATGTGCACTGAAAAGTGTTTCTGTCGCAATATTATTTAATGAATCGTTGAGCTAGCTAACTAGCATACATTGTCACTATCTGCTAACGTTAGCTTTAGCCTTCGTTTTCAAATAGTTTCTTTCATAGCCTATAAACGGAGGTGGTATAAGTATATATCTTGTACTTGAGTAAAAGTAGAAGCACTCAGATCTTGTACTAGAGTAAAAGTAGAAGTACTCAGATCTTGTACTTGAGTAAAAGTAGAAGTACCAGAGTGTAGGAATACTCTGTTACAGTAAAAGTCCTGCATTTAAAATGTTACTCTAGTAAAAGTAGAAAAGTATCATCATCAAAATATAGTTAAAGTAGCGACAGTAAAAGTAGTCATTGTGCAGACTGGTCCATTTCAGAATAATATATATGATATGTTTTATAATGATTGATCATGAAAGTGTTCTCAAAGCTGGTAAAGGTGCAGCTAGTTTGAATGACTTTGTATACTGCAGAGTAGCTTGTGGATTTACTCCAGGTGGAACTAAAGTCTGATTTAACACTTGATTATATTTCACATCATTCATCCACATCTGTGAAGTAACTAAAGGTATTAAATACATGTAGTGGAGTAGAAGTACACCATTTACCTCTGAACTGTAGAGGAGAAGAAGAACAAAGTAGCAAAACATTGAAATACTTAAATAAAGTACAAGTATCTCAAAATTATAGTATAGTACTTGAGTTTATGAAGTTAGTTACTTTACACCACTGGCTATAAAGATAGAAAGACAGCCTTGCACAGAGGCATGAAAATACATTTTCAAAATGCTCAACAGTCCTGCCAAAATTATAAACTGACTGCTACACAATTAAAATAAATGCTTAAATATATTTCTATTAGATGTGACTCTTTGGCGTTTCTGTTATTATTAACACTGCTGCTTCAGTTGTTCTGACTGCTAAAATCCTCTGTTATTCCTCATTTTAAAGCCGATATTCCGTGGGGTCGGGGGGCTCGGATCCTTGTCACCTTTTTCATACCTGATGAGTTTGCATCCCTGTTTATTCATTTCATGAGCACCGCTGATAAAATGTCCCACAAACACTTCCTCTACTTTTGTGTCTCGAGTGCCTGTGTTCACACACACAAGCATACGCACACTCGCACCAACAAAAACACACACACACACAAAGCGGAACAAAGCAGAAACAGAAACATGTTTTTTTCTAGGCAAAACACAAACACTGACTGACTTCCCACGGTCAATATTTTAACAGTAGGCACTAAATACCCGACTGATACCTCACGTCTTCTACATCAAGACCTGCTCATATATGGACATTTATGACTTTATCGTCCTCGGGTGTAGATCTAGGTTTTTCCTTTTGACTCCAGTGGTAAAGTTTCACGTTTCTGCTCGAAAACTTCACTTGGTACTTTATTTTAAATGTTGCTTAGAAAACTTCGCATACACATCTACTTGGAAAGGTAAAGGACTCTCCGAGTGTTTAAATAGTTAACTTTAGTCTAAGTTATCTCAGTGGTTCGCAAACCTTTTGGTCATCATTTATGTAAACAAGTATTTCCAAGGGACACGTTTATAATTATTATAGTTGTAAATAAAAGAACAAAATAAATAATAACAGGTATGAAATCATTCCAATGTTTACTATAGGACAGTAAAACAAAAACAATTTCAAAAGGGGAGTGATTAGTAAAATATGCATGAAGAAATAAATGTGTTAACTATGTAAAATAAGCTATATAAACTTCCAAACTTGTGATCACTGCTCCACAGAGGAGCAGGGGGAGAGAGGAGAGGCTCTTGCCAAGGGCAACATGGTGCATGTGCCTATGATTGAGCAGTGAGAGCATCATGGATACAGAAATGTTGTGGTCACTGTCTTATTCCTCCACCAGAGGGGGACAGAGACTGTGTCTGAACCTATACATCCATGGTCTGAACTCATGAGAACTATATTTAAAGGTGGGGTATGTAATTTAGCCGGCCGGCCCGGCTAAAATAACTGGATGGCCTACCTGCCTGTCAGCCTTCCATCTGTGCACAAACTTATCTCGTGCCCTCATTGGTCATGTGCGCGTTCGTGTGTGTTGGAGGAGGGGCTCTGTAAGGAAGTCTGAAGGAAGAGGCAGATTTTTTCCGGTTGTGTACTTTCAAATTCTAGCGCACTCGAGCTGGTTTCTCCAAAAGTACATACCCCACCTTTAAGTGCCTTGATATTTAAGTTATATGTAAAATGTTAAACTTTATAGATCACCTCAAAAGTTATTGTCATTTTTAGAATGTAGGGTTCACTTCATAGTGGGCCAGAAAATCCTGACAAAACTTGTTCTCACTTGTTTCACAAACAATTATAAACACAGAAGAAAGGTAAAAGTCAGAAATCATTCTTGAAATTGATCACCAGAATAATTGTTCTCACTTGCTTCTCAGGGCTTCCGTACAATTCACAAGCATTTCTAGCCTAAGAATCCAATGAACTGTATGGCCTGCAGATGGCAATCTAATCCAAGTAGTAATAGTTATCTTTGTGAGCAGGGGAGAACAGTTTAGTATGTATGTGTGTCTCTATGTGTGCGTTTAATGGAGCGACCCTGAGCACTTGTTAGAAAGGTTAGAAAAGTATTGTTCCACAGGAAGCCGCAGATCGTTGTGGCGCGTCCTGTCTTTGTCTCTGCTGTTCGCTATGCCGCTGTCACTGACAGCCACAAACATGAGACACAACGAAGGTCACCTTTAGGCTGCCTGTGTCTCAACCATGTAAATAAATAAACAGATACAGTACAGGCCAACTTTAAACCCATTATGCAAATGTTTATGTGGCACAAAGTAATATATCGGTTTTATTAACCTCTGACTACAGATTGTATCCAACTTAATGACAGCGTCCTGTAACTTCTTTACCAATAAAGCTTCACAATATAGAAGAGTTGAGTCATTAAAGCTCAGGTCGTCAAGAGGCGTCTCCAATATTCCATTGTAGTAAGAGAGTTCTGCCTCGATTTGGAGTCATTGATTCACATGTTAAAGAAACTATTGAAAAAATTCAAGACTTGTTAAATAAAAAAACTGTTGATTATTTCATTGATATATTCAATTTGACAAGTCATTAGAAAATGTGTGCCTCATTAGATTTTATCTAATTTATACATGTTTAGCATCATTTTCAATACTATGGCCAAGTTAGGATGGAAAAAAACATTGTTTTTCTCTCAAACAGTAATTTGTTGACGGTCCCTTAGTGAAACCCTGTGGTAAAGAGTGAGGACTCGGCTGTGAGCTAACCATCCTCTGACTGCAGTCTGTGAAACTAAGAAGATGCTACTCTATCTGCAGTGAATGTCTGTCAAACATCCAACCTGAAACTAACATCACTACAATCATGAATCTTCTAAGTAAAATGAGTCGGGGAAAATACATTTTAAATGACAGAAAGCTCAAATCCTCATGAGTAAATCA